GCCGCCTCTTCTTCTCTTGCCTCCTCACGGTCAGCAGCTTCCTGGACGGCAGGTTTATGGCAGACATCAGGTTCGTGGTTCACCGGAGAATGGGATTACAGGTACAATTTTAAGTAATCTCTTGCCTGGTTATTCAAACTTTAATCATCTGACTACTTGTGGTACTAATCGTGTCAGTGCAGGTTTTCCATATGTAGACAATACTTACTCTCATACTCCTGCGCCAGTTGTTTGCCAAATCTGTTTCTCTCCAGGTCATTCTGCTCTCACATGTCCAAGATTTGTGGGTCCTTCTACTCCTGCTCTCATTGCTCTTCCCATGGGTGAGCATAATGCGTCTGTGTGGTATCCTGACTCGGGAGCCTCAGCTCATATGACCCTCATGAAGGTATTCTTTCTTGTAAACTTCCTTACACCGGATCAAATTCAATGCAAGTTGCTAATGGTACTAAATTACCCATTGCTCATGTTGGTAGTCTTAAAATGTTTACGCCTAGTCGTCCGCTTTCTTTAAACTCCGTTTATCATGTCCCGCACTTAAAATATAATCTCTTGTCTATTCATAAATTGTGTGCTGATAATGATTGTACGATGTTTTTTAATAAAAAAATTTTTCTGTTAAGGACAATCAGACGGGGGTGCATCTTCTTCAGGGCTCCAATAAAGATCATCTCTATCCTTTTCATGCTCTACAAGCGACCTTAGTGTCTGGACCTACCTGGCATAAAAGTTTAGGGCATTGTGGTGATCGTGTTTTACAAACACTTCGACAAAATAAATTAATTTCAGTTGCTAGCAATTTTTCTCATAATTGTGTTTCTTGTAAGTTAGGTAAATCCCACAGACTCCCGTTTAAGGATTCTATTCATAGTTGTATGGCGCCACTGGAACTTATTCATTCTGTTGTTTGGCAATCGCCTGTTTTATCTAATTTGGGTTTTAAGTGCCATGTATGTTTCATTGATGATTTTTCTCACTATACTTGGATTTATCCTATGCGGCGCAAGTCTAAGGTATTTACTCATTTTTTCCATTTTCAAACGCTTGTGGAATATATTTTTAACAGTAAAATCAAGGCTTTTCAGAGTGATGGGGGTGGGGAGTTTGATAATACCATTTTTAATAATCATTTCTTAAAATCTGGTATTTTATTTAGAAAATCTTGCCTGGATACTCCTGCACAAAATGGTGTGGCTGAACGTAAACACAGGCATCTTCTTGAATTGACTAGGACCATTTAATTGAATCTTCAATTCCTTCTACTTTTTGGGTTGATGCTCTGTATATGGCCACCTATATTGTAAATCGTTTACCTACTCCAGTCCTCAATAATTTAACTCCTTTTGAAAAACTTTTTAATAAATTTCCCGATTTTTCTTTTTTCGTGTTTTCGGATGTGCTTATTTTCCTAATGTCATTGCCAAGTCTTCTAATAAGCTCTCACCTTGCTCTATTCAATGTCTTTTTCTTGGCTATGCTTCGGGTTATAAGGGTTGTCTTTGTCTAGATCCCGTCTCTGGTAGAGTTTACATTAGTCGTGATGTCCAATTTTTTGAGGATAATTTTCCTTACTCTAAACTTATTCAAACCATCCCATCTCCTAGCCCCTTATCCATTTTGCCTTCATCCAATTTTCTGCTTCCACCTGCTCCCTTGTCATTGCCCCAGCTGGAACGTCCAGCAGCCCATCCAGTCCCCTTGCCATGCACTTACCCAGCCACTCCCTCCTCGGTCCAGCCCGTTCAAACACCTGAAACCCATTCACTGCCTATTTCCAGCTCCACGATCAGTCCTACAACCCATACACCGCACAGCCCACAGCACAGCACACTGCCCAGCCCGGAACCCAGTCCAACCAGCCCTCTATCCAGTTCCACTTCCACTCCCGCGTCCAGCCCTTCGTCCAGCCCACCATCCAGCCCTTCCCCGCCTCCAAAATCCCTCCCTCTAGTTAATCATCACCCAATGCAAACTGGCGCTAACGATGGTATTTATATGCCCAAAACAATTTTTATTTGAAGTGCCTTTTCACCCCGGATGATCCTACATGTTTTTCAGAAGTTCAAAAACATTTTATTTGGCGGGCTGCCATGGCTGATGAATTTAATGCGCAACATGCTAATCAAACTTGGAAATTGGTACCATGGGATGGCTTGCAAAATGTGGTTGGCTGTAAATGGGTTTGTAAGACAAAATATAATTCTGATGGGACTGTTGAGCGCCACAAAGCGCATTTACTTGCTCAAGGGTTTAAGCAGCAGGCGGGTGTGGATTTTACCGAAACCTTTAGTCCTGTAGTTAAACCCACCACTGTGCGTCTTGTGTTATCTATTATTGTTTCTCTTGGTTGGTGTATTCGTCAATTAGACGTTAAAAATGCATTTCTTCATGGACATCTTACAAAGGAGGTTTATATATATGCGACAACCTCCGGTTTTGTTCATCCTTCTTTCCCTCATCATGTGTGTCATCTCAAAAAGGCGTTATTTGGTCTTAAACAGGCTCCCCGAGCCTGGTTTCACATGTTCAGTGGTTTTCTCTTATTTCATGGTTTTACTCAAAGTAAATATGATTCCTCCATGTTTGTTTATAGTCAGCATTCTCAGGTTGTTTACATTCTTCTTTATGTGGACGATATTTTAATTACTAGCTCCTCGTCACCGCTTGTCCGCTCTATCATTGATGCTTTGTCTACTCAGTTTGCCATGAAGGACTTGGGTGATATTCATTTTTTCCTGGTCCTTCAAACATGGCGTACAACCGAGGGCCTTTTTATATCTCAGCACAAATATATCCTCGATTTATTACGTCGGTTTCATCTTCATAATGTCAAACCAGTTCGCACACCCTTACCGTCTCATACTACTCTTTTTCTCACAGATGGTGAACTTCTTACTGATGCTACTGAGTACCGCAGTATGGTAGGTGCTTTATAGTATTTGATTTTAACTAGACCTGATATTACTTATGTTGTACATTTGGTTTCTCAATTTATGCATGCACCACGTACTACTCATGTCACGACCCGAACCGCGTCTGTGCCACATAGACAACCGTCGTACAACCCAATAAGAATAACCGCAATTCATCTTTACTAAATTGCACAAGACGTCCGATAGATACATATGCCAAAACCGATTAGTAAACATACATAACAACATCAACATACAATTAAACACATAACGGAATATAAGTGTTTAATAAGAACCCGCACAAGGGCAAAACAAGAGCTCGCGGGCTCCATTAATTTATAAGTCAAAAATAGTTCCATGAGTATTATTTAATTATTTAGAAATAGAACCAGAGGAAGCACGAACCACATCTTCTCTCCATCGATATCCCGAACAACGGGTGCAAGAAGTAAGCTCTGTCTTCAACCTGAAAGGGTGGTTCCCCCGAGGCATCAGTACTACAGAAAAGTACTGGTGAGGGCAAACTATATGTAATATAACTAACGTTTCTCACATGGGACCCTCAACATAGGGTGATAGTATATGTATAGGCATAACTCTTGGCACCCCTTTTCAAAACATATTGTATGCATATATACATATGAGTAAAATATCCTGCTCGTGGGCTCATTTGTCTTTCAAATCATTTAGGCATAACAGCCCCCCATTAAATTCAACTTTCCCATATCTTACCCTCAGGTGGGGTCACCCACAGGCTAACTCACTCGATGTCACAATATAAATACTCGTGGGTGCCCCTTCGGGCTCCCAAATCACGGACATGATTTATATCACTCCCTATCCCAAGGAAATATTGTATCGGGAACTCTTTCTCTACCAAGCAAATTCATTCAATCATTTAAAGTTATTACCCTGAGGTTCACCTACCTCGAGGACTACTCGTCCTTACTATTATAGTTTACATTCCCGGGGCTAACCCCGTCTTGAGGAGTACGCATGCACCCTCGTCCTACGTGTAATTTACTCAAGGTTAACACACCTCAAAGACTACACGCGCCCTTGTTACTTATATGCAATTTGATGGAGGATACCACACCTCAAGGACTGCATTTGCTCTTGTTACCTATGTGTAATTTGCTGGAGGTTAACACACCTCAAGGACTACACGGGCCCTTGTTACCTATATGCAATTTGATGGAGGTTAACACACCTCAAGGACTGCATTTTCCCTTGTTACCTACGTGTAATTTGCTGGAGGTTAACACGCCTCAAGGACTACATGGACCCTTGTTACCTATATGCAATTTGATGGAGGTTAACACACCTTAAGGACTGCATTTGCTTTTGTTACCTATGTGTAATTTGATGGAGGTTAACACACCTCAAGGACTACACGGGCCCTTGTTACCTATATGCACTTTGATGGAGGTTAACACACCTCAAGGAGTGCATTTGCCCTTGTTACCTATGTGTAATTTGCTGGAGGTTAACACACCTCAAGGACTAGACGGGCCCTTGTTAACATTTGAGTATAAAGGACTCCTCCTAGTCCTACAAAGTATTACCTGACCTTACTCGGTCCCGGGTATTCACCCGCCATGTATTATTGAGCGGACTAAACTTGCAAGTGTACAAGTGCCGATATAGTAATAAATTCCGGTAAAATACCGGGTTGAATCCACAAGGAAACGTTGTTTAATTTAGTCCGTGAGTAGATAACTTTAAATGAAGAAATGAGTAAAGTGCAGGGATTTTGATTTGTGTTTTATATTTTTGGCTTTTCACTTTTTTGCTTAAGAAGATAATCGTTAACTAATTTTAAGTTTAAGATAAATGATAACAACAACTAAGGCTTCGGGAATCACTTAAATGCTTTAATAGGGTTGAATATTAGTTCTTTACCAATAATTATGAATACGATGTCGCTAATATATTCTCAACTCCGGTTAAGGCAGCGAGAGCGTGGTTTTCGTTACGTGTAAGTCCCGTTACGGCTTACATTCATCTACCGAAAACCCCGTTGAATATCAAGACATCACACCCGTATCATATAAGACCGGATATATTTCTATTCTCGGTACTATATATGTTTATCCTTTAGTGTTCATAGTTTAGACTTCAACGTTAATTGCAAGTATAAACTAAATTTAACATACTTCTATGTTGTACACCATAGTCATAAACAATCAATATATAAAGGATAAATCACAATTTATTGGTTTAGAACTTTTATCAAACACCTAGTGGGCATAGAAGTTCATCTCTAGCCTTAGCTAAGAAATTAGCCTCTAATGCTCATATTAATCACAATACAATAATAAATGTAATGGAACATGAAATTACAAAGGAAATAATACCTAAACACCAATGATTTCGGAGGATGAACTTCCTTCCTCAAGAACTTGAAGAACAAATACAAGAACAAAATATAAAAAACTAGAATTAATCTATGGAATGGAATGTGTTTGCATGATGAATTGAGGGCTTTATATAGGCTAAAGAATGACATCTTTTAGTCTATTCGAACCCAACAATCAGGTGTGGAGCAATATTTGATCAAGAAATGAGGAAGATGACCTTTTCCCATCAAAAATCCTGTTGCACGTTGGCCTGTTTTGTGCAGAAATCGCCCCAACCGGCCCCGGTTGTGTCCCGAACGGCGCCGGTTCAAAACAGGCTCATTTGTGCGAGAAAAAACGTTCCGACCGGCGCCGGTTCAAGACCGACCGGCGCCGGTTGCTGCGCCCAAAAATATACTCCGTTTCTCTTCCTCTGAAATGGATCAAAAAGTGTCGGTTTTTGTACCGGAATTTTGGAGATGGTCCGCTACGAATTGGGACATGATTCCTTCACCAAAGTGTTAGATAATGAAGTCTTCTATCTAACAAAACTTGAATGACGTGATTTTATTCATCCAATCAACAGATATGGATAAAATACTGAGAGGTATGCATCCTGAAATCCCACCAGCAACATCTGACTTTATCGGTTGATTGAGTATTGTTCCTTTCCTATTCTGGCCATGATGTCTTCATAACATTTGTACCTTATTGAGTTACCATTCACATGAAATTCGAATGGAGTGATTTCGAGTTCTCTATAATACGTTATACTCAAATGATGGGCAAAACGTCATCCTTTTGATCCCAAAAGCCGTTCATCACAATGTTTAATGCTCTAACTCTCATTCTCAAGATATTTTCCCAATTTCTCTTCTTTTCTTCAACAAATACTTATAAATACTTATGTTAAACACAAGTAAATATAACGGCTATCAAATCCCCCCATACTTGAGCATTGCTTGTCCTCAAGCAATTTCTTTGTATTGATGCACAATTAGAAAAGAAACTAAACCATGCAAATTAAAAGTTTAATGAGATGTTAAAAATTAGATATAAACTCTTTAATCTTTCTCGAGCCAAAAACCTTTTTCTATTACTCACAATAAATGTATTTAAGATTAAGAAAAATATTTAAACACTTGATGGGTTTATTTTGTGACAATTTAGGCAATGTGTGGGTATGTCGGTGTTTTTTTCTTCTTGTGGACTGACAACTTGATTTTATAGAGAAGGTTATTCTAGGAGAACATGAGTTTTGCTTTTTGTATATCAACTCTTTTTTTTGTTCTCCGTAATTATATATCTAGTTTGTCAGAAATGAGGAGAATCCGACAATAGAGTGATTTGGAGTTGGGATGAAACTTTTATTTTGAATTTGCACTCTATGCACATTTGTATGGATTTGGAAAATTGTCACAAATTTGAGTGGAAGTGGTGGTTTCAAGATTAATAAATATTTTAATTAATCGAAAAATACATTTTTGTGAGTAAAAGAAAATCTTTCTCAACCAAAACCCTTAAAAGAGAGAATATCAAAAATTTTAACCTTCCTAGAAAAAAATTAATTTGTAAAGAAAAGTTTCTCAACTAATTATTCACCCCCCACACTTGATTTACATTGTCCTCAATGTAGATTGGAGAATGTAATGCAAGATGAAATCTTCAATAGTGGAATGAGATGTCTTTGAGAGAAGAAAATGCATGATACTTGAGCTGAGATCAATGTTTTTTTTTGTTTGTTTTTTTTCTTTTTTTTTTTTGATTTTTTTTTTTTTTGATTTTTTTTTTGATTTTTTTTTTTTTGATTTTTTTTTGATTTTTTTTTGGGTTGCCTCCCAATTAGCGCTTAGCTTAACGTCATAGGCCGGACGAATGTACCTCTTTTAAGGCGGTGGATGTGATGCTTTTCTCCGGTAGAATTTGATCATTGTGTCTCCTTTCATCGGGTAGAGTTTCGAGAGAACTTCGTTGTTCGTTGGTGTGATCTCGAGTACGTCTTCGGGGTGTGTTGCAGGATCCTCGGGCCCAAATATTTGTGCCTTCTTGATGTCCATGATGTTTATAGTCTTGGGAGGTGTGAAACGGTTTGTGTTGTCCTTCATGTTTTGAGTTGGAGTGGATCGTGTCTTCCATATATGGAATGTTTCATCATCTCCTCCCACTCTTAGCTTTACCGTGCCCGCTTGTACATCAATGACGGCTGCAGAGGTGGCCAAAAATGATCTCCCAAGGATGACGGGGATCTCCATCTCTTCCATGTCCAAAACAAGAAAATCTACCGGGAAATAGAATTTTCCAACTTTGACAAGAACATCCTCCATGATGCCTACTGGATAGCGGATTGTTCTATCCGCTAATTGTAGGGCGACCGTTGTTGGTTGGAGTTCCCCCACACCAAGCTTTTTAAATAAAGAATGGGGCATGAGGTTGATACTAGCACCAAGATCACAAAGGGATCTTACCTCTCCAATTTTGCCGATAGAACACGGTACCGTGAAGCTTCCGGGGTCCTTCAATTTAGGAGGGAGTTTGTTTTGTAGGATAGCACTACACTCCTCCGTGAGGGCAATGGTAGCAAATTCCGCCAATTTTTTCTTATTTGAGAGAATGCCCTTCAAGAATTTGGCATAAGATGGAATTTCCGCTATAGCTTCGGCAAATGGAATGTTGATGCTCAATTTAGTAAAAATATCAAGAAATTTTCTATATTGAGCACCATCATTCTTTTTCTTTAACCTTTGAGGATATGGAATGGGAGGAACATAATTAGCCATGTTCGATGGTGGCATCATATGCTCCTCACTTTCACCTTCTTTTTGTTTTTCCGGGATCTCCTCCTCTTCCGGCATCTTTGGATCCTCCGTTGTCTTACCACTCCTTGTGGTAATGGCCATTACGTTTTCCCTCGGGTTCATCTCCGTGGTTGTAGGAAATTTGCCTTGCTCCCTAGAACTTACTTTTTGGGCAAGTTGTCCCATTTGAACTTCAAGATTCCGAATGGATGCCTTGGTGTATTGTTCAATGGTGTCGATGCGTTGATTAAGCTTTATATTTTGATCTTCAAAGCGAAGATCCAACTTGGTGAATTGAGAATGGAGATTCCCAATGGATGCCTCCACTCTACTATGGTTCTCTTCATTTTGAGCCTTCATGTTTGTCATGCTTTTGGACATGAATTGCATCATATCTTCCATGGTGATCTCCTTAGACTGCCCAAAACTAGGTGCTTCGGATTGGGGTTGTGGCTTCCAATTGCTCCCTTGGTTCCACCTTTGTTGATTAGAAGGATTATTGTTTCCCCGGTTCCCATAAGAGTTCATGAAATTTACCTCCTCAAGATGTTGAGATAAATCACCTTCCGGGTTTTGAATGCTCTCCACATTAGCTATCTGTTTGACACCTCCCAATACGGCTTGAAGGGCCGTTTGAAATTTCTGCTCAATTTTTGACTCCATTTGTTCAAGCCTTTTGTTGATCTCGTTTGTGATAGAGATTTCATTCATCCCGACCACCTTGTAATCGTCTCCTTGAAGTTGGGGATTTGAGGCAATGGATTCAATGATTCGGAATGCTTCAGTTTCATTCTTGTTTCCAATGTAGCCCTCGGCTCGGTTGTCTACAATGGCTTGACAAGGTGCATTCAAACCATTGTAGAACGTGTCAATTTGAAGATCAAGGGGAATGCGGTGGTGTGGACATTCCCTTAGCAATGATTTGAAACGCCGCCATGCGTCTTGAAAGAGCTCACCATTTTGTTGTTTGAAATTGAAAATGCGTTGTCTAAACTCTTGAGTCATGGTGGGTGTGTAGTATTTAGACATGAAGGCATTGTAAATACCTTCCCACGTTGTGTAGCTCGCTGGAGTTTGCTCTAGAAACCATCCTCTTGCCGCCCCTTTGAGAGTGTAGGGGAAGCATTTGAGTTTGAGATCGTCTTCGGCGAGCTTATTCCTTGGAATCCCTTGAATAAATCCATAGAACTCCGTGATAAAGTTCAGTGGATTTTCTCCCGAATGCCCATGAAACTGAGGCAAAGCGTTGAAGTAGCTATGCTTTAGTTCATAGTCTCTTGCCTCCTCGCTTAGTACAATGCAAGACGGGGAAGTTGCAACAACGGGTCTCTTCCTCTCGTTTAGTGTGGGCATCATATTTGTGGCTTTTTGCTCCTTCCTAATGTGTTTGCAAGTTCTTTTTTTTTTAACCTTGACTTCTCAAGTGCATGCAAACACAAAGGAATATCTACACACACAAAAATAAACCTTTCCAAGATCAAGTGAAAAAGAGTAAAATAAATTCAGGATTTTTAAGTGATTGTTTTTTTTTTTCCTTTGAACTTTTTTAAACAAGACCGTTTCCCCGGCAACGGCGCCAAAAACTTGAGCGGGCTAAACTTGCAAGTGTACAAGTGCCGATATAGTAATAAATTCCGGTAAAATACCGGGTCGAATCCACAAGGAAACGTTGTTTAATTTAGTCCGTGAGTAGATAACTTTAAATGAAGAAATGAGTAAAGTGCAGGGATTTTGATTTGTGTTTTATATTTTTGGCTTTTCACTTTTTTGCTTAAGAAGATAATCGTTAACTAATTTTAAGTTTAAGATAAATGATAACAACAACTAAGGCTTCGGGAATCACTTAAATGCTTTAATAGGGTTGAATATTAGTTCTTTACCAATAATTATGAATACGATGTCGCTAATATATTCTCAACTCCGGTTAAGGCAGCGAGAGCGTGGTTTTCGTTACGTGTAAGTCCCGTTACGGCTTACATTCATCTACCGAAAACCCCGTTGAATATCAAGACATCACACCCGTATCATATAAGACCGGATATATTTCTATTCTCGGTACTATATATGTTTATCCTTTAGTGTTCATAGTTTAGACTTCAACGTTAATTGCAAGTATAAACTAAATTTAACATACTTCTATGTTGTACACCATAGTCATAAACAATCAATATATAAAGGATAAATCACAATTTATTGGTTTAGAACTTTTATCAAACACCTAGTGGGCATAGAAGTTCATCTCTAGCCTTAGCTAAGAAATTAGCCTCTAATGCTCATATTAATCACAATACAATAATAAATGTAATGGAACATGAAATTACAAAGGAAATAATACCTAAACACCAATGATTTCGGAGGATGAACTTCCTTCCTCAAGAACTTGAAGAACAAATACAAGAACAAAATATAAAAAACTAGAATTAATCTATGGAATGGAATGTGTTTGCATGATGAATTGAGGGCTTTATATAGGCTAAAGAATGACATCTTTTAGTCTATTCGAACCCAACAATCAGGTGTGGAGCAATATTTGATCAAGAAATGAGGAAGATGACCTTTTCCCATCAAAAATCCTGTTGCACGTTGGCCTGTTTTGTGCAGAAATCGCCCCAACCGGCCCCGGTTGTGTCCCGAACGGCGCCGGTTCAAAACAGGCTCATTTGTGCGAGAAAAAACGTTCCGACCGGCGCCGGTTCAAGACCGACCGGCGCCGGTTGCTGCGCCCAAAAATATACTCCGTTTCTCTTCCTCTGAAATGGATCAAAAAGTGTCGGTTTTTGTACCGGAATTTTGGAGATGGTCCGCTACGAATTGGGACATGATTCCTTCACCAAAGTGTTAGATAATGAAGTCTTCTATCTAACAAAACTTGAATGACGTGATTTTATTCATCCAATCAACAGATATGGATAAAATACTGAGAGGTATGCATCCTGAAATCCCACCAGCAACATCTGACTTTATCGGTTGATTGAGTATTGTTCCTTTCCTATTCTGGCCATGATGTCTTCATAACATTTGTACCTTATTGAGTTACCATTCACATGAAATTCGAATGGAGTGATTTCGAGTTCTCTATAATACGTTATACTCAAATGATGGGCAAAACGTCATCCTTTTGATCCCAAAAGCCGTTCATCACAATGTTTAATGCTCTAACTCTCATTCTCAAGATATTTTCCCAATTTCTCTTCTTTTCTTCAACAAATACTTATAAATACTTATGTTAAACACAAGTAAATATAACGGCTATCAAATCCCCCCATACTTGAGCATTGCTTGTCCTCAAGCAATTTCTTTGTATTGATGCACAATTAGAAAAGAAACTAAACCATGCAAATTAAAAGTTTAATGAGATGTTAAAAATTAGATATAAACTCTTTAATCTTTCTCGAGCCAAAAACCTTTTTCTATTACTCACAATAAATGTATTTAAGATTAAGAAAAATATTTAAACACTTGATGGGTTTATTTTGTGACAATTTAGGCAATGTGTGGGTATGTCGGTGTTTTTTTCTTCTTGTGGACTGACAACTTGATTTTATAGAGAAGGTTATTCTAGGAGAACATGAGTTTTGCTTTTTGTATATCAACTCTTTTTTTTGTTCTCCGTAATTATATATCTAGTTTGTCAGAAATGAGGAGAATCCGACAATAGAGTGATTTGGAGTTGGGATGAAACTTTTATTTTGAATTTGCACTCTATGCACATTTGTATGGATTTGGAAAATTGTCACAAATTTGAGTGGAAGTGGTGGTTTCAAGATTAATAAATATTTTAATTAATCGAAAAATACATTTTTGTGAGTAAAAGAAAATCTTTCTCAACCAAAACCCTTAAAAGAGAGAATATCAAAAATTTTAACCTTCCTAGAAAAAAATTAATTTGTAAAGAAAAGTTTCTCAACTAATTATTCACCCCCCACACTTGATTTACATTGTCCTCAATGTAGATTGGAGAATGTAATGCAAGATGAAATCTTCAATAGTGGAATGAGATGTCTTTGAGAGAAGAAAATGCATGATACTTGAGCTGAGATCAATGTTTTTTTTTGTTTGTTTTTTTTCTTTTTTTTTTTTGATTTTTTTTTTTTTGATTTTTTTTTTGATTTTTTTTTTTTTGATTTTTTTTTGATTTTTTTTTGGGTTGCCTCCCAATTAGCGCTTAGCTTAACGTCATAGGCCGGACGAATGTACCTCTTTTAAGGCGGTGGATGTGATGCTTTTCTCCGGTAGAATTTGATCATTGTGTCTCCTTTCATCGGGTAGAGTTTCGAGAGAACTTCGTTGTTCGTTGGTGTGATCTCGAGTACGTCTTCGGGGTGTGTTGGAGGATCCTCGGGCCCAAATATTTGTGCCTTCTTGATGTCCATGATGTTTATAGTCTTGGGAGGTGTGAAACGGTTTGTGTTGTCCTTCATGTTTTGAGTTGGAGTGGATCGTGTCTTCCATATATGGAATGTTTCATCATCTCCTCCCACTCTTAGCTTTACCGTGCCCGCTTGTACATCAATGACGGCTGCAGAGGTGGCCAAAAATGATCTCCCAAGGATGACGGGGATCTCCATCTCTTCCATGTCCAAAACAAGAAAATCTACCGGGAAATAGAATTTTCCAACTTTGACAAGAACATCCTCCATGATGCCTACTGGATAGCGGATTGTTCTATCCGCTAATTGTAGGGCGACCGTTGTTGGTTGGAGTTCCCCCACACCAAGCTTTTTAAATAAAGAATGGGGCATGAGGTTGATACTAGCACCAAGATCACAAAGGGATCTTACCTCTCCAATTTTGCCGATAGAACACGGTACCGTGAAGCTTCCGGGGTCCTTCAATTTAGGAGGGAGTTTGTTTTGTAGGATAGCACTACACTCCTCCGTGAGGGCAATGGTAGCAAATTCCGCCAATTTTTTCTTATTTGAGAGAATGCCCTTCAAGAATTTGGCATAAGATGGAATTTCCGCTATAGCTTCGGCAAATGGAATGTTGATGCTCAATTTAGTAAAAATATCAAGAAATTTTCTATATTGAGCACCATCATTCTTTTTCTTTAACCTTTGAGGATATGGAATGGGAGGAACATAATTAGCCATGTTCGATGGTGGCATCATATGCTCCTCACTTTCACCTTCTTTTTGTTTTTCCGGGATCTCCTCCTCTTCCGGCATCTTTGGATCCTCCGTTGTCTTACCACTCCTTGTGGTAATGGCCATTACGTTTTCCCTCGGGTTCATCTCCGTGGTTGTAGGAAATTTGCCTTGCTCCCTAGAACTTACTTTTTGGGCAAGTTGTCCCATTTGAACTTCAAGATTCCGAATGGATGCCTTGGTGTATTGTTCAATGGTGTCGATGCGTTGATTAAGCTTTATATTTTGATCTTCAAAGCGAAGATCCAACTTGGTGAATTGAGAATGGAGATTCCCAATGGATGCCTCCACTCTACTATGGTTCTCTTCATTTTGAGCCTTCATGTTTGTCATGCTTTTGGACATGAATTGCATCATATCTTCCATGGTGATCTCCTTAGACTGCCCAAAACTAGGTGCTTCGGATTGGGGTTGTGGCTTCCAATTGCTCCCTTGGTTCCACCTTTGTTGATTAGAAGGATTATTGTTTCCCCGGTTCCCATAAGAGTTCATGAAATTTACCTCCTCAAGATGTTGAGATAAATCACCTTCCGGGTTTTGAATGCTCTCCACATTAGCTATCTGTTTGACACCTCCCAATACGGCTTGAAGGGCCGTTTGAAATTTCTGCTCAATTTTTGACTCCATTTGTTCAAGCCTTTTGTTGATCTCGTTTGTGATAGAGATTTCATTCATCCCGACCACCTTGTAATCGTCTCCTTGAAGTTGGGGATTTGAGGCAATGGATTCAATGATTCGGAATGCTTCAGTTTCATTCTTGTTTCCAATGTAGCCCTCGGCTCGGTTGTCTACAATGGCTTGACAAGGTGCATTCAAACCATTGTAGAACGTGTCAATTTGAAGATCAAGGGGAATGCGGTGGTGTGGACATTCCCTTAGCAATGATTTGAAACGCCGCCATGCGTCTTGAAAGAGCTCACCATTTTGTTGTTTGAAATTGAAAATGCGTTGTCTAAGCTCTTGAGTCATGGTGGGTGTGTAGTATTTAGACATGAAGGCATTGTAAATACCTTCCCACGTTGTGTAGCTCGCTGGAGTTTGCTCTAGAAACCATCCTCTTGCCGCCCCTTTGAGAGTGTAGGGGAAGCATTTGAGTTTGAGATCGTCTTCGGCGAGCTTATTCCTTGGAATCCCTTGAATAAATCCATAGAACTCCGTGATAAAGTTCAGTGGATTTTCTCCCGAATGCCCATGAAACTGAGGCAAAGCGTTGAAGTAGCTATGCTTTAGTTCATAGTCTCTTGCCTCCTCGCTTAGTACAATGCAAGACGGGGAAGTTGCAACAACGGGTCTCTTCCTCTCGTTTAGTGTGGGCATCATATTTGTGGCTTTTTGCTCCTTCCTAATGTGTTTGCAAGTTCTTTTTTTTTTAACCTTGACTTCTCAAGTGCATGCAAACACAAAGGAATATCTACACACACAAAAATAAACCTTTCCAAGATCAAGTGAAAAAGAGTAAAATAAATTCAGGATTTTTAAGTGATTGTTTTTTTTTTTCCTTTGGACTTTTTTAAACAAGACCGTTTCCCCGGCAACGGCGCCAAAAACTTGAGCGGGCTAAACTTGCAAGTGTACAAGTGCCGATATAGTAATAAATTCCGGTAAAATACCGGGTCGAATCCACAAGGAAACGTTGTTTAATTTAGTCCGTGAGTAGATAACTTTAAATGAAGAAATGAGTAAAGTGCAGGGATTTTGATTTGTGTTTTATATTTTTGGCTTTTCACTTTTTTGCTTAAGAAGATAATCGTTAACTAATTTTAAGTTTAAGATAAATGATAACAACAACTAAGGCTTCGGGAATCACTTAAATGCTTTAATAGGGTTGAATATTAGTTCTTTACCAATAATTATGAATACGATGTCGCTAATATATTCTCAACTCCGGTTAAGGCAGCGAGAGCGTGGTTTTCGTTACGTGTAAGTCCCGTTACGGCTTACATTCATCTACCGAAAACTCCGTTGATTATCAAGACATCACACCCGTATCATATAAGACCGGATATATTTCTATTCTCGGTACTATATATGTTTATCCTTTAGTGTTCATAGTTTAGACTTCAACGTTAATTGCAAGTATAAACTAAATTTAACATACTTCTATGTTGTACACCATAGTCATAAACAATCAATATATAAAGGATAAATCACAATTTATTGGTTTAGAACTTTTATCAAACACCTAGTGGGCATAGAAGTTCATCTCTAGCCTTAGCTAAGAAATTAGCCTCTAATGCTCATATTAATCACAATACAATAATAAATGTAATGGAACATGAAATTACAAAGGAAATAATACCTAAACACCAATGATTTCGGAGGATGAACTTCCTTCCTCAAGAACTTGAAGAACAAATACAAGAACAAAATATAAAAAACTAGAATTAATCTATGGAATGGAATGTGTTTGCATGATGAATTGAGGGCTTTATATAGGCTAAAGAATGACATCTTTTAGTCTATTCGAACCCAACAATCAGGTGTGGAGCAATATTTGATCAAGAAATGAGGAAGATGACCTTTTCCCATCAAAAATCCTCTTGCACGTTGGCCTGTTTTGTGCAGAAATCGCCCCAACCGGCCCCGGTTGTGTCCCGAACGGCGCTGGTTCAAAACAGGCTCATTTGTGCGAGAAAATACGTTCCGACCGGCGCCGGTTCAAGACCGACCGGCGTCGGTTGCTGCGCCCAAAAATATACTCCGTTTCTCTTCCTCTGAAATGGATCAAAAAGTGTCGGTTTTTGTACCGGAATTTTGGAGATGGTCCGCTACGAATTTGGACATGATTCCTTCACCAAAGTGTTATATAATGAAGTCTTCTATCCAACAAAACTTGAATGACGTGATTTTATTCATCCAATCAACAGATATGGATAAAATACTGAGAGGTATGCATCCTGAAATCCCACCAGCAACATCTGACTTTATCGGTTGATTGAGTATTGTTCCTTTCCTATTCTGGCCATGATGTCTTCATAACATTTGTACCTTATTGAGTTACCATTCACATGAAATTCGAATGGAGTGATTTCGAGTTATCTATAATACGTTATACTCAAATGATGGGCAAAACGTCATCCTTTTGGTCCCAAAAGCCGTTCATCACAATGTTTAATGCTCTAACTCTCATTCTCAAGATATTTTCCCAATTTCTCTTCTTTTCTTCAACAAATACTTATAAATACTTATGTTAAACACAAGTAAATATAACGGCTATCAATTATCTACCACTTACCTCGCCCGATCGTGGTCTATAATATCTTTACTAACGACTAGTCCAAGTCTTAGCGTTTAAACCGCATTCCAAGCATGAGCATTTTAAACACCATATTCCATGCAATTCCATGCAAAATATTCATATATAGGATGGTCGGGATTAATCCCACATCGAACCGGGTCCGATTTGGGTTTTTAGCAAAAACCGGTCCCAAAAGCCGAGACGAGACCGGCATCGGTTCACTACATAACCGGCGCCGGTTCACCTGTTAAAATAATTAAACCGGCTGCCGTACTCAAACTGGCGTCGGTCCACTGTGTTGGACCGGGTCAACGCCCCATTGACCGCCCGAAACGACTCCGATTTCTCCGAAACTTAAATACAACATGTGTTAAGTCATAAACAATCATTATATGTCATTTTGGTCACTCGAAACATTTCTTATGTTTTTATAATATTCCAAATCATTTTTATGTATTATGCTCTAGTTTATTTCTCATAAACTAGATTACTTTCCAAACTTGCATGATTATGCACTTTTAATTCTTCTCAAGAATACCATCTTGAATTCCCTTTATTCATTTCATAAAATGAGTCATTCATGGTCATCATCCAATTGGAATGTTATATTCACAAAAATTATTAATCGGGTCATTTATACTAGTTAATCATTCATGTATATTACTGTAGTTTATTTCTCATAAACGAGATTATCCTAGTAGCACGTGTACTTAAGAATTTCTTAATTCTTCACAAGAATATTACTTGAATTAATTTGGTCATTTCTCAAATGAGCCAACAAAACATTTATATTAATTCATTATATCTTATATATTTCCCTAGTTTTTTTGTCATAAACTAGTTTTCCTTAGTCATTTTCTCAAATAATCATTCATGATTATTCTTCATCAAGAATATTAATAATTCTTTACTCATTAATTAATCATGCCACATTCACTTAGTTTATTATCAATATGGTTAATCATATGTTTAAACACTTTTAAACATTTCTATAGATATTCACATACTAGATTAGTCTAGTTGTCTCATACATAGTCCATGTACGCATTTTTATACTTTGGAAATAATATATTCATGATTAATCCACAAATAAATCTCCTATTCATTAACCATGTAATATTTCCGTAATTCATATTCACCATGACTAATCATGCATTTCAATCCATTTAATCATTTCTCAAATCATGATTATGATTTTATTTAGGTAATCCCACGTTTGACCCAAGAGTTACAAGATACGTAGTCGTCCACTCACCTCGAAATGACGCTAGCAAGCTTTTATCCTATTCGTTTGAACTCCAGCGACTTTTGGAATTTTCCGGTGAAAACTACGGCGGCTCTGGTGACTTTTCCAGCCACTCCTACATTCCTTTAGATGTCTACAATACCTTGGTAAAATTCCTAACAAGGTTTCATAAACCAAAAGTGGTATAAATATCAAAACCCCCCGGGAAGGTGTTTTCCGGCGAACCGATCTTACTCCGATCATAACTCTGATCATGGTTAAAACTATCCTTCAAAACCCTCATTCTACACCTCTAGGAGTGTAAACAAGCTTAGGGGTCTATCATATGATTAATCTAATCATGTGAGATTAAATGAAGGAGGAAAAATTACTAATGAAGTCATTACCTCAATTTTTAAGCTTTTCCCTCACTTATGCTAGCTTTTCTTCTTCCTTGTGTCTTCTCTAACTTTGAGCTCGGTTCATGTCCGTGGAGGGGAGTATTTGCAGAGGTTCTCTCTATTTTGGTGACCTAATTCAGATGGGACGCTAAGGGAAAGGTCAACACCACCACCTTTCTCTCAATCAAAATTGAGGACAAGGCACATTCATGTCCTTTTGATGCCTAAAACCTCAAATCATGGCTTCCTCACACCTCCTATCACTCACCAACTGTTTAGTTTTCTAATTCATTGCATAATTTTGTGGGAGGTCATCCCTTTATGATCCAAAAGGTACATTCGGTCTCGAAAGTTGTATTTTTCGGACTGCTTTAATTAAATTTCGTTTTATCGGGTCACATAAAATATATATCATTCCTTCGATTAATACTGGCCTCTAGAATGAATAAATATTACCCAACTTTAATTTAGTGGTTCCCGGAATTTATTTTGGGCTAATGTCTGTTTAATTACTTATACCGTTAATGAGACCTCGTTGGGACCTCGTTTGATAGAAAGGCCAACTTTATGGCTCAACATTAATTTACACCACCATATAAATAATATCTAGTCCAAGATGAATATAATATGTGGTCCCGGAAATATTGGTTGGTTTCCGCCTCTAGTGTGGGCCCAACGTGCATTTTACTGTTCAAATAACAGTAAAATTGAGAACATGTTGCCTCGACAATTCACTCGTCATTTCTCATGACTTAATATGAGGTTTTATATTTTGTGACACTTTAATAAAATGTTACACTTCCTTTTTAAGTGGTCCGATATGTATAAACAGATAAAATCGCATCTCTCTGTTCCTATATCATAATATCTTGAAGGTAGGGTCATTCAAGAGTACCCTCCTTTAATATACTAATATAATCATATATTTATCATCCTATTATTTTGGGTTCTTAAAATATTCATATTTCTTCTATTATAAATTCGTAGTCCTGCAGATTATTAACAGTCCAATAATTAAGGACTTCCAACTATTGAATAGTGGCCCCGGCCCGCTCGACCGTCCAGTTATTGTTCTTTATATCACTGGGGTCCACCACCCATTCTTACTATCATAATAGTATCATTTAGATCAACATCAGTATCTTATACACTTTAAGTATCACGGGTGGTCCCCGCTTCCGATGCGGGGACCGTCCAGTTGTTGTTCTTTATATCACTGGGATCCACCACCCATTCTTACTATCATAATAGTATCATTTAGATCAACATCAGTATCTTATACACTTTAAGTATCACGGGTGGTCCCCGCTCCCGATGCGGGTCCCACGTGTACGACTTTACTTTTACTACACGATAAAATTTAATCAGTGAAACTAAATTTACTGCACCTTTCATCTAGGTGCCAAGTCTAATATATCCAATGTTATATGTGAACATTTCCTAGAGGTGGTTTTACACCTACTCCTCGATCTACGTGGGTCCCACGTATGATTAATAACTCATTATTAATTTAAGACAAGAATTTTATCTTTCTCATTTATCAAGACTACTCTTAGTCTTGATTTACCTTCTTTAACCCTGTACTTGATGAAAAAAATTTCTCTGGGTAAAATTTGAGGTCGGTGTTACAACTCATCTTTTGGCTGTCAAGCGGATTTACAGATATTTGCAAGGTACTATAGATTATGGCTTGTGGCTTCAAGCCAAACGTGACATCTCTCTTCTTGTGGCCTATTCTGATGCTGATTGGGCAGGTTGTCCGGATAGCAGTCGCTCCACCACCAGTTATGCCATTTTGCTGGGTCCCAATCTTATTTCATGGCGTTCCAAGAAGCAACCTACTGTTTCTATATCATCTACTGAAGCTGAGTATCGTGCCATAGCCTACACTGTTCATGACACTATTTTCATAAGCACACTCCTGTCTGAGATGGGCATTCGGCTTTCCACACGATTCAACTTCACTGTGATAATGTGTCTGCCTCTTATTTAGCTGTGAATCCCATTCAACATGATCGTAGTAAGCATATCAAGATTGATTACCACTTTGTCAGAGAAAGAATTGCACATGGAGGGAGATCTGGTGGTCAAATATGTTCCAACGCAGTTACAATTACCTGATATTTTCACCAAGAACTTATCTAGTCAACGTTTTGAACTTATCTAGGGAGTCCAGGACACCCTAATAGGATGAGCCATTATTCCATCTTATTATTTCATAAAATGTTTGTGTATATATACCTTCGTATAAATTAAAATACCTACACATAAACTAGTTATATGTGATAATAAGAAATGGATCGATAATTGTTGGGATAAGTCTAGACCATTGGACGGATATGTTAAGAAAGTAAAATGCAGCTTATGGTGAGAACTTCTTGATCTGATAATTAATTAATTAATTAATTAATTAATCAATGATGCATTTAATTCATGAGATCACAGTCTGGTTTAGTCTGGTTTAGAACTTCTTTGTCATATTGAAAGGTTTCCATTTCCATTTTAGCAGACAATTAACAATCTTAAGTGACAAATTAATCATTAAATATTAAAAATGATACATTTTTAACACCATAGTTATAAACATTGACCCCATTATATTATATATTTGTTGAGATTAAGTCCCGCAGATCCAAACGCTCAACACACGCTTTGGATGTTAAGGACGTAGGTCTTGGTTCGGAAGGTCAAAGAAATATAAAAATCCGAATAATATTACCATCAAAAGCCCACTTGTATTAATGTCATTCACTGATTACATTGAATTGCTCGAACGGCACGTCGGAACAGTGACTAATACAAGAACAAGAGTGAGAGATCTATTCTAAGGCTCCGAGTATCAAAATGCTAACCCATTACAATGTAATTAATGCTTCTATTTATACTAGAAAGAGGGTAGTTGGAGCGATGATGTGGCCGAACCCGATTGGCTGTTTCCTCTTCCCACTTGGACGCCTATGCCCCCACTTGCTGTCGACATACTCTAGCATTTAATGCACCTTGCCACTTTGCGGACTTCCCGTTCGGGATATCGGGCTGATGGACAAGGCCGGTGTTGTTTGTCGGGCCCAAGTGGACTAACTAGGCCGAACAGTGTCTTCCTTGAGGCGCTGGTTCCTGTTCGGGCTGCTATGGAGCTGGCATCAAGTTCTTCCTGGGCCTGCCCTCCTTCTTGGATCTTTAGTGACTTTTGGGTCGGGTATTGGGCTCCGGCCCATTATCCTAGCAACATCTATTAAAAAGTTTTCTCTGACTATCTTATTTAATAATTATCTAAATAATTGTGTCGTTCTTTCATTGAATCTTTCAACGGAACGGAGATAGTAGGTGATAAAGATTTTTCTCGTGCAGAGTAATTTTCTGTGAATATGAGTAAAATTGTGTTAGAATTCAAAATTAAGAGCATTATGCTTTTCCATATAAGAGCATTATAAGAGTAATTATTGTCATGATTGAAAAACATTGTTAATCATAACGTTATATTGTCATATTTAAATCATTATAATGTCCAAATATAGAATTAAGTTTCAACATGACAGCCATACTCTAGTGATTACACTAGCAACTTTAAAGAAAAATGATACCTCATCTCTAAGGACCCCGAACACCAGTCAGACATACTTTTTATACTTTAGTGATTACAATAGCAACTTTAGTGATTGTTGATGTTAAGTCGCACTCCAAAGATCATACACAGTCTTTTGGGTATTCGTAAAATCTTGTGTATATGAAAGTATTTGTGTGATTATAATATTGGATTGGAGAGCAAACAAACGGCAACAAGCAATACATGGGAGAGAAAGGTAAAGTGTGTCAGGTTCTATTCAATGAAAGTAGATCGAACGGTTAGAACACTCTTATCGAGCCCGAGCCTCTTATCTATAATCTAAGCTGAAAGTTTACAGAAGAGAGTAGATAGAGAAGCTAAGCTATTGAATGCAAGTTTGTCAACTCTTTCATATGAAATATGTGAGTGTTTAAACTATAGGGTAGTAGGTGGGGAGATGACGTAACGATTCCTGTGTGGCTAACCCCCAACCATAAATCTCTCATATCTGATACATTAAATGCGCTTCTTGTCAATTCCAAACTTCTCGCCAAATCCATGATAAGGCAGACCAACAATGTGAAAGTTGTAGGCGAGAGTTCCAAGTGTTGCATCTCGAGCATCGCATCCCGTCTGGGGCAAGTCGGTCGAGACAGGTATCTGGGTCGAGCCTAACCAGGTTCCCCGCGAGTGTTGAGCTCATAGTGCAGTGTGGGCCGCTGGTGGTATTTGGGTTTGCTCGTTATTGGGCCTAACACCCAATAGTACGTTATCATTATAGTGCTATATTAATGAAAAAACGTCTATTTTTATTCACATTTTGCCGAAATATTGTTCTGGTCAGGGGACAATTTGTTGTTGAAAATCTACTGGTTTAAGTGGTATCATGTTTGGTTAGTCATATTAAAAAACAAACATTGTGTTTTAATGTCATGGATGGCAGGATGGTAATTGGCGTGGACCAATTATTTGATAAACACCTGGTGGAGTGATGGTGTGGACCAACTATTCTGAAGGTGCAATTTTCGTTGGATTGATTGGTTTGGGGTTTGAACAACTGGACAAGGTTCGAGAAATTTTGTATACCACGCCCGTTTAAAAAATGTCAAATTAATGTCGTCAATAGATTTTTTTATTTTCTGTTTTGAATTATCACTTTCAATCAAATTCGTTTTCATAAACTTTAATATTAATATCCACATAGATACTAAAGTTCTGAATATTATTTCTAGTTATATACTCCGTATTGTCCAAGGAAATTAACTTTACCATTTTTTTTGAAGTAAAATTAACTTTATCATTTATTAACTAAACATGATTTATATATAGTATAGAGTGAGAAAGAAAAGAATGCATTGATAATTGTTTTCATTCACGTGATCAAACAAATTGTTCTCATTGTTCAGATCTCAGAAATAAAATTTATAACCATTTTATTTCCAGTAGTTTTGACCTGATCATTTTTGTGTATTGTCAAGACACTAATTATCACTTAAACGTGTGCAAACACAAAATAGTACTAGTAATAAGATATTTATGAGAACTAAAATAACGAACAAATGTGCATGTTTTAATATGAAATAAGAGTAGTGTTATTTTCACAATATCTATAATGACTTAACTGATACTCAACTTAACATTGTTAGTTATAATTATACAATTTTTACAATGAATATAATTATACCATATTTTTAGTTTTTTACTCATTAATTCTGTTTTACTTATTTATAGGCTAAACCATATGTCCATATAAATTATCCAAATAACGATAGGTGATAGGATATTGAGGTCCGGCCCAATATGGCAGCCCAAAATATCCCTAGAAGTCTAGGCGCCAAGGAAAGCCCAAAGGTCATAGATCCTGAACGGGAGTTCGGCACATTCTTAAGGTCCAAAATACAAAGAATAGTCAGGAAGAGATCGTTGGGCCCAAATGGTCTGTTTAAAGGCAAGACCCGTTCGGCACCACCCGAACGGGATGTGACCAACTGCAGTTAATGCTGGATCATGGAGGTCTCAAGCGGCATGGAAAGCAACCAATCGTATAAGGGCGCTCCATGTAGTATAAATTGCAGTTGTTAAATCATTGTAAGGGTTGGATTTCATTAACTCACAAACTTATATTGTATCACAGCTCTCGTATTAGCCTTTGAATCATAATTACCGTTCGGTCATTTCTGTGTAATTGTTATTACTGTATTAATACAAGCGAGTTATTTAGATAGTTAAATCAGATTTTATATTTCCTTTTATACACATTACTATAGCAATTTAATCCAAGATCCAAGTTTAGTGTTGGGCCTTCGGGTCATTCGGGACTAAACCACAACAATAGGGTACCGTACAAAATTCAACATCCTTATAAAATTATAAAATATGCTTGATGGTGTGGATATACATATAGTAATAATAGGATAGATATTAGTCTATTTATTACGGAGAATATATTACTATCTCTGTCCCGACTAAGAGGTAATATAACAGTTACAAGAGCACTGAAAGTTGCTATGAATTGCCGTCTTCTTGGATTGGATAAAAAAGCATCCTTATCCGATATGTCCATTTTGAACAAGAGACAGAACCATTTTGACCTCATTTTTGAACGTTAAATCGTTTGAGGATTAGGTGGAGAAGCTTCTAACCCACTATGGTTCACAGTTTCTTTTCTTATTTATGCAAACTTTCCTTCATCAAACTATGAGCCATTGAGATCACAAAGATGACAGGAGGGCACCAAATTTCTGTTCCATTTGTTTGGGAAGAAAGACCTGGCATACCAAACAAGGATTGGAAACCTGCTAAACGTAAACCCTCGAATACCCCCAAGTTTGTTCCCCCAGATCAGCTCATACCTTCAATTCCCTTTCAGTGGGAGGACAAACCAGGAACACCCCTTTCAAGCATCCAGGTTCAGCCACAGTCTAAGGGTAATTTTGTCATCATAATGAGCAAGCCATTACTAACACTAGAAGAGCTGATGACGATGAGCCGAAGAAGAAGCTACCAGAGAAAAGCCCAAATGCAGATACAGAGTGTGCATATGGTAATCTACTGTTTCATTTATCATGCATGTCTTAGTTTTGACACTAGAATTTTTTACAAGGGTCTGTTTGGATCCTGTAAAATGTTCAGAAACCGAGGACCAAAAATACCTAAAATCAGAAAGACAGACAATTTTGATGGCAAATAAAGGAAATACTCAAACACCATAGATTTATTTTAGATGACTTCCTAAACCCTTTTGTACTCCGAATTAATTTCTAATAAATAATGACTAAGATATTTAAATGTATATAAAAAACTTCAACAAACATAGTCAATAGTCATATTTAATTTCTATTACGTTTTTCTGTGTAAAGCTAAACATAAAAGTTAACATTCCTTGGCATTGGTTCCCGATTAGTAATAGAAATACATAGATAAAATCAGTTTGAAGTTTTGAACAAATATTTAACTTATCTATACATTTTATACTCACAGCCCCCCCCCCCCCCCCCCCCCAACATTTCTTTCCTTCCTAACGGACCCTAAAAGTTTTGCACAACAGCTTATTATTCTACACAATAAAAATACATGCAATCAGACTTGCATATTGCATCTCGCAAAAAAAAAAAATTGCATATTCCTTTATGCCTTTATCATAATCATATTAAATATATGTATCTATGTCCACAAGGAAAGTACCAATACATTTCGGAGTATTACAAATTACAATATACTCCATAGAATAGAACATTTTTATTGCATTCTACCCACCTTTGTGGCAGAAGCAGAAACTCACAGGGAGTGCTCTTGGATGCTGTGTGCTTGGAGTTCGAAGAAGAATTGAAGAATTGCACACCAAATGGAAGAGGGAGCTAAAGCTCTTCTCCAAATAGTCTGAAACATGGCTCAGTTTACTGAGCACCAAAAACTGGTTATTTGTGCATTGTAAATGAAAAATATCCCATTTCCTATTAGATCCGAGTTTATATTATTTGCACTTTGGGGGGCAAAACTAATGCTTCTTGCCAGTTATGGTACTTCTGATCACCCATCATTCGAATACATGAACAGAAAGTGCCAAAAATGGAAAAGGCCAGTCAGGGGCCAAGAGTGGAATACTTCCTAGGAGTTACCATATAGACCTTTAAAGCATAAAAAGAAATCATTGAACACATTCCAGATTCTATTGTGCAATGAAATGTTAAGAACTACCAAGCTTGTGCCCATCCTGTCTACATCATCAATACAGGAATAAATGATAAACTATAAAAGCTGGCATAAAAAATATAATTTTCAATTAAAAAATATAAAATAAATCTAAAATAATTTAAGATGGAGGTCTACGGCTTACAATTACTCTCCTTATTCTTTCTGCAACTAAAGGAACATCCTTCTCTTGTAACATTGTAAAGCAAAACCTGAACCATCCATGTTCGATGCAATGGCAAGCAGATCCAGGAGTCACATTAATCTTAGCCACACTTAATAGCTTTTCCCATAACTCAATTTCCCCCTTTTCATTGTAAGGATTGATTAATGTACTCATGTTCACCCAACAATGCAAACCTGCGTTGCTCTTCATGTATTCAATCCCCAGTTCATCTAACTGTGCAATAAACAATTTATACATTCTTCGCAACCTCTCTCTGTTTTCCTTTAGGTAATCCCGGATAAATCCAGTGTCTGACAGCATTGAGACTAGTAATCTCTGTGTTGGAACAGAAACTGACGAAAACCTAGTTAACCTTCTAGAAGCAGCTAGAACATTCTCGTTAAAGGAATATATTAAGCCAACCCGAAAACCCGGAAGGCTTAAGTCTTTAGATAGTCCATATATGATATGAACCCTGTCTCTGTCGGAGTCTTCTTCTTCTTCTAGAATTTCAGCCATGCTTACAAACTCTTTGTTACCATAATTAGAGCCAGCAAATATTTCATCAGAGATTATATGGATGTTTTTCTCTCTGGCAAAATCTAATAGATTGTATAGTGATTCTCTAGTCATGAGGTTGCCGACAGGATTGGAAGGGTTGGAAAGGAGTACTCCACGGATTTTTTGACCCCGCTTTCTGGCATTGTTAAATGCTTGGTCAAGAGCAGCTATGCTCAGTGTAAAGTCATCCGAACTACGACAATGTACAGGAATAAGTTCCACACCGGTTCTCCATCTAACATCCCTATCAAACCTGCAAATTGATCATCTATTTAAGGTTTAAGGTTCTTCTTTAAACGAACAATCTTTATTCTTTTTTAGGAAGAAGAAGTTCAAATATTAAATACTCTGTCTCATTTAAATTGTACCCCAGTAACTTTTAATATTCATTAGGCCAACCTAAAAAAAATCTATTTTGGTGACGAATTTAAACATACCTTAATTTAGTTTAGTAGATCAGTGAAAATTATAGTGTAGTATCTAAATATGTAAACTTTAATTTCAAAAAAGATTTAACTTTAACTTGAAAATGAAATAGGACACATAAAATGGGACGGATGAAGTAAGATTTTATAACAACAAAACTGAAAGCAAACAGAAATGACTAGGTAGTAGTACCCAGGGTAATAGGGTGTAGGAACGAGGAAAGCATTCCCCTGATCCGCTAAGCAAAAGAATAACATCTCAATGGCAGGAGTTGCACCAGAAGTTAATACTATTTGCAATGGGTTAAATGAAACTGCTCTTCCCATTGCCTCAGACATGAAATCTGCCATGGCCTGGAAGGATTAAAGATTCCATCACAATTGTATTCACTAAAGATCATAAATTGTGAAATTTGAAGCGGAAACAACATGAAAAACTTTGTTAGCTAAAAACTTAAAAGCTTTGAGCTTTTTTCATGTTTTTAATTATTGAAATTACCACTTTCAGCTCCCACAGACCATCAAACGGCTGGTAGGCAGAAATTCCGCTGATATTCAAACCAATACTTCCAAGTGCAGAATCGCAAAAGTTGTTCGAAAGCCACTTCTCAATCAAATCCAGCGATAACTTTGAACGGTAAAAGAAAGAAAAGAGCAGAAACAATTGAATTTCGATACTAAAAGTTAAAAATGACCAGAAAATGAATTAACGGGACGATGGATGTAGGTGGTAGTAATACGATACCCTATTCTCAGTTAATCCAAGATTTATAATCCCTTCTGGGTTATCGATTTCATCATATGGATCCTCCTGGAACCTCTCTAATCCAATATAGTAAGCAGAATCGTTGGGCTTTGCAATTGAGCTAGCGCGGGAGGACAGGTGGGTCCGCCCGGTTGACCCACGACCGGACAAATTGAGCCGCGAAGATGTCCGTGGTAGTTCGACCAGGTCGGTGGACGAGTCGGACGGCGACGGAGGATTCGAAGCAGATGAAGATGGAGCCGAACGGTGTCGTTTAATGTAGAACTGAAGAAAGTAGAAGAGAGCACAGGGGATTAGCGAGCCGAAGATTAAGCCTCCTCTTCCTTGAACTACACCTTGTAAGGGCACAATCAGTCTCATGCTGATGAAACCAGGAATTCCAACGCAAGTGATGAAGTGAAGATCAAATAAGGAAGAAGAAGAAGATGATGATTTTGCAAAAAAAAAAAAAGAGAGATTATATTTTCTCCATTTGGTTAGTTGGGAGACAGTGAAATTTGCGAAAATTTTGGTGATTTAACGTTTCAATTAAATTTTCAATTTCAAATGCTCCGTAAATATCAAAATAAGAGAATAGGAGTATATATAGGAAGGAGTTTAAGGGTCAGTTTGATCATTGAAGTTGCATAAAAGGAGTCAAATAAGTCCTTATAACGTCTTTACTGTCCAGTCGTCGCCATTTGGGACGGTTCTCGGTGGAATTTTTTGATAAAATGTTTTGAACATCTGATTCATTAATTCTAGTTTACTCATACAAAATTTCAGATAAAACGTCAATCGGGAAGACATTCAAATGAAGTCTTGAAGATAACTGCGCAGTTAAAAGCGCAATTATCTTCAAGACTTCATTTGAATGCCTTCCCAATTTAAGTTTTAGCTAAAATTTGGTATGAGTAAACTAGACTTAATGAATAAAATTCACAAAAAAATTCATCAAAAATATTCATCGGGAACTGACCCAAATGGCGACGGCCGGACAATAAAGACGTTATAAAGACTAATTTGACCTCTTTTACGCAACTTTCGGGACCAAACTAACCCTAACCTCATATAGGAAGTATTTGAAATTACTCCCTCCTCTTCCAAATTAAATTCTCACCTTGATTTTTACAATCTTATAAGTGAAAGTTTGACTTTAAGTATCTAAAAACTATTACTATAAAACACCAAGTATATACGGAGTAATAAATAAAATTTGAATGCTATATATTACAATGAAGTATATAAAATTAATTTTGTGTGTAAGTAATGTAAATTTTAAATATTCTTTGATCAAAGTTTATAAAATTTGATTTAGAAATGAAATTAGGAATTTTATCAATCTAGGACCCAAAAGATATATGAATTATCAATCCGAGACCTGAAAGATGAAATGTATCAGTATAGGACTCGAAAGATGAAAAACTATCAATATATCTAGGACCTAACATTTCATATGTTTTTATTTATTTAAATTTTTATTAATTCCATTGCTAATATTTGGTGAAGTTTTCTTAACAAAAGTTTATTAGTTTAATAAAACTAAATATCATTTAAATTTTTTAAAATAAAAATAATAATAAAATTTATGAAAACATAGGTCCTAAATTGATAGTTTTCAATTATTCGGGTCCTAGATTGATAGTTTTCCATCATTCAGATCTTATGTCGATACCATTCATCTTTCAGATCCCCAATTGATAATTCATCTATCTTTCAGGTCCCGGATTAATAAAATTCCTTTTAAATATCATATTTGTAATGCATGTTTGACATAATTTGCTTAAAAGAACTTTTGAGTAATTGTCAAAAAAAAAACTCTTGAACAATGGACATCATTCTGTAAATGAAAATAGTGAATGTGCATGTTTCACAAAAGTTGACTGCATGTTTCATTTAGTTTATTCACAAAATGAACACCATTTTGTTAAGGCCATCTCCAACAAGCATCAAACTTGACACCAAAATGGTCTATTTGGCAAAAAAATGCTCCAACAATAGCACCAAACTTGACACCATTACACCAAAATAGGGGAGGGGGGGAATGGTTTCCGCCATATATGGCGTGCGCCATTTGTTGCACCATCAACTTTTTGTAATTTTTTTCTTTCAAATGTGACCCAAAGGTTTGGGTATTATAGTTTTGACCCATGTTTAAAACAACAAAATAGGAAGTTTTACTTGGACTGAAATTTGTTGGTCCGGTCTAATTTGGTCTGGTCTGATCTGAATTGATGTGGCCTGGTCTGATTTCTTTGTATTTTTATAACTACCCAAGTTTGGTCTAATCCGGTCTGATCTGATCTGAAACAAATTATAGTCCAAGTAAAAACAACCTTATACAACAACAATCAAAACAATTAATTTGATAAAAAAATATAATAACATTTAAATCACACAATATTATAAATAAAGTTTATAAAAAATACAACATCCTTATACAACAACAATCTGAAATATTGACTATTGTATTTTAATTAGTGAAATGCGTGAAAATACATACAAGTATTAAAATGGTGTATTTTAGTTTGTATGTGTGAAATAATGTGTGAAATGTCAAAATATTAAATGGGGGGCTAATGTATAAATATATGATAATTAGATACTTAAATAGAAGAATGGTAAAAAGTTGGTAAAAAGAATAAAAAGGGAATATTCCTTTTTGGTGATGAAAATGGTGTAAACTGTTGGAGATAAAATACTGTATGATGTGATGTTTACACCATTTTAGTGTAGAAAATGATGTAAACTGTTGGAGATGACCTAAGCCTAAATGATTCATACATGAGCGTATATTCTTTCACAAACTATTGAAATAGCTTCTAAATTTTTTAATATTCTTAGACGAGTTTAAAAAAGAATTGTACTGAAAATATACTTCACATACCAAGTACTAGTATGATAGTTCGTCTAGTTCTTTTAAATATTACAAAAGTTGCAAGATAAAAAATTGTGCTACTAAATGTACGCGTTTTACTCTGTATAATTAGTGTTTAGTGATTTGTCTTATGAAACACTTAATGATATCAAGATACAAAAATATTGATAACAAACTTTAAGTTGATTTTGCTTGCTTTGTGTGTTCAAGAATAAAATAATGCTCTCTCCGTCCCAAATTGATGGTTCTATACTTTTTGGGCACAAAGATTATGGTAGAAGGATTAAAGAATCTTACTTTTTTGTACTGTTCATCCTTTTACTTTTAATGTTCATTAAAAAGGGGTATAAATGGTATTCCACTTTTAGTTCTTTACCAAAAAGGGAAACCAAACAATCATTTTGGGATATTCCAAAAAGAAAATACAGGATCATCATTTGGGACGGAGGGAGTACTAAATAGTGAGTAGTTTATAGATAATCTAAAAAACAAAATAAATAAATAAAATATTACGTACTACATGAGTGTTAAAAAATAAACGAGATCGAAGTCTGATTGAGTTCAATGAATTTGCATAAAGGAATCTTTTAATTTTTTCATGTAATTATTTTTTAGTTTTTTTGAAAGTTTTTTTAGTTTATTAATAAAATATATCGTAAATAAACATTTTATTATTAAATTATTTCCACAAGCATCTTATCCGTACGTGGGTGTGTCGATTACACCATTTTAAAATTAATTTAACGGCATGAAACGGCCTCAAAATTGGGACGTGTGGGGGAGAGGAAGAAAATGATTGGATCCCGATTCCATGCAAGGAATCTAAATAGGGGTTATGGTATGACAATATTGTCTCTTTCAAATTTGCATAATAATTTAGAAATGAACGGAGTAAATTTCTTTGAGCCAACTTGACTAGTAAATACACCATGATAAAAGAAAAAGGGGTGACAATCCATCCCATCCATGCGGTCCACTAACACCGACCGAACAGTTAGATGAGAGGATATAAGTTGAACTTTAATCACAGGTTGACAGATAGGAAGTGTGGCTCTGATCTTTACACCATGATATTTAGTACAACATGATTCCGGTTTTAGGATATGTATTCCTTGTTGGATACCCCCAAGGGTGGATGGCTGTGATGGTTGGGGTGGGCTCCGGCCCTGCCCAATTTTCTTTTCTTTTCTTTTTTTAAATTAGTATAGGTTTTATTATGAGCCCACCCCAAAATTTATTCCCAAATCACCTTAAAATTAATTCTCAAGCCCAGCCCACAACCCAAACTTACCTGCAAAGACCTTGAGACGAAGAGCGAACACCAAGCCATCAGCCGCGCCCTGAGACGAAGAGCGAACACCAAGCCATCCTGAGACGAGAAGGCGACGAAGAAGGCGAGAAGCTGCGACCCTGAGACGAAGAGCGAACACCAAGCCATCAGCCGCGCCCCGCGTCCTGCCGTCCAGACCCCAAGGGACTGCGACGTTAGCCGTCCTTCCTCTCCGGGCTCTGCCTCCTGCTTTGGCGCAGTCTTGTAGGTGAGTTTTTTGTTTTTAGATCTTTACTTTCTTATTTTGTGATTTCGTTAACTTGTCTTGTATATTAGAGAATAATTAAATTATTAATTAAAATATTTACTTTCTGTCTGTATATTAGAGAATGATTAAAAAGTACTACTATTTAATTTAAATGCTAAGTCTTAGATATTTTTAGTTCGATCAGTTCAAGCTTCTATTTTAAAATGTTCAATGCCTAAAAGTTTATCCGGTCTTTTATGGATAGTATGTGAACCCATCTTTAAGGTAATAAAATTCAATTTTTTGTGATTCATTGTATCCTTACTCCTATATGCACTAAAAACTTTGACAAGTGAAGTCTTGGATCACTTTCAAAAAACTATTTTGCAAAGACTCCCTTTGTCCTTAACTAAATGACGCGGTAATTGCGCATTGAGACTTGGAAAGTAATAATCCATGCTTTAATGCATCTAAAACCTCCCGTGACAATAAATTCAATGCATCAATTTGCTATGATTTAAAATTTGCATCAAAGTTCGATGTGTTATTATTATTAATGCACAAAATACCCCTCATAGAACAAATTTAATAATTTTTGAAATCACATATCCTAATATTATGATTGAATATGTAAGTAAATTTGTCAAGATCTCTAAATTATACAAAATATTAATCATTTTTATTTTATTTGTCAATTCAATTTGTTCATCAAGATGATTTTGCAATGAGCATTAATTTTGGAGCTCATTAAGCCCATGTGATAGCAAGAGAGCATATATACTTCTTATTTTGTGAGCTCTACTCAAATCCTCTAAAACTTTTACTCTTTTGTTACACCTGCCAATGTTATTTAGTTTCAAAAGAGACTCCTTTTGAAAGGGACATGCAAGGTCTCAATCCTATTAAGAGAGTTGATGTACCCGATCTGGATCTTCCCGTTCAAGGAAAGCGGCGACTCTGAAAGTTTTATCCATGCTCGGGCCTACTACTGCGTGCGACCCTTAATTAAAATTGAGAATTTCTCCAATGTAGAACTAAAAAATAAGGTGTTTTAATTTAAATAGAAGTAATATATTTTACAAAAGAAGAGTGAAATATTGTTACTATGAAATCATATTTTATTACTTCATACGAGTATGACATTATACCGCCCGGCTCAGGGAAGGGAATCCAGCCCAATAGTACAGTGCCTCTGATTTTGAAGGCCCAAAAAATTATAAAGTTATTAGTTGTTATATCAGGTAGTCCAAGTTCAAGAAAAATACGTAGAAAATTACATACCTGGACTTGGAATCTGGATATAGGCCCAACCATCCGCCCAATCGACATCGAATCGCCCACTGCAAGCGAAAAAAAAAAACAGAACGGGAGACGGACGACTGACGAGGTGACAACGACTACTGAACGCGGAACGCCGACCGCCGTCTGGGCCGCCACCGCACCACGCCTCCCGTTTGCTCAGTCGCTCAACCCGCGTCTCCGCTGAGCCGCCTAGCGTGTCTGACCGTTTCGCTAGGCCGCTGAAGGTTGATTTGCTGCAGCAGGTAAGTTTATCTCCTTCGAATTATAAATTATTAATATTCTTAATTTGTTTGTTATTATCACCTAGTCACATCACATTACATGAATCGAAATATGTTGTTGTAATGTTCTTCATTATTAGGTGATATTGTGATTGAGTTGATGATTCTAAGCCGCATACTATGTTCATATATTACTTAAAGAATTAACTTTTTTTATCGATTTGCAATTATAGTTTGTTCATATTTCATTTTCCCTATCTGATATATTAGATCTATTAAGTTTGTCTAATTGCATTGTGTACGAGTATATAAAAGGTTGAGTGATTCCTTTCAAATGTTTGATTTTTATTGAAGGATTGAACTAATAGAAAATTAGAAAAAGAAAAAACACTAGGAAATCATATAATACATTAACAAAATTATTAAATTTATTAATTGTCATGTAAATGAAGTCTTTATGAATCATTGACTAATATTTAGACCCCGGGAACAATCTCTTGGTACTAAAAGTACAGAGGTAAGGCTGCTTACATCTGACCCCATACCCAACCGTAAGTGAGAGTCTTTGTGGCACTGAGGTAATGATGATGATGACTAATATTTAGACCTTGTGTAAAAATTCCAAATCTGAAGGCATCACTTTACACTAATGATCTTCTACTAGCTCTATAATTACTGTAGAGATCTTATTTTCAGGTTTCAAACAAGTTTTTGCTTTGTTCAACTATTTTGCAGTCTTGCGATTTATATATATCCGGATATATTTTTTCTTTATTTTAAATGTGTTTCTGTATTTTTTTATTAATATCAAGTGTATCTATTAAAAATATCTGCAATAAATATAAAATTTCCGTTCACACTAAGAAATCTTTGCTTTAGTTTGCTCTTTGTATCATTGCCAGTTTTAACTTTTTAGTATTTCATGATTTTTCTTTGCACTTTTTTATCAATATCTATAGCTCATTAAGGCTTGTCTTTCTCTTTGTCACTAGGGTTTTGATGGCAAATAATGTTGCATATGCTTTTGCAAATATTGGTGCATTATCATGCTTGCATAAGTGTGGTGCTTTTATTATTTTATGATCATGCTTGTTTAAGCGTGGTGCTCTTATTATTATGTTATCATGCTTGCTTAAGTGTGGTGCTCTACATATATTAAAATTTCATTAAAAAGTAATGTTATATTTTTCTGTGCAAGCTAATTCAGCGGGAGCAGATTTGGCTGTGGTTTGGGGACAGTTGAGCAAGTCATTAATTCACTCAAAAGAGCCTAGTTCTTGAGTTATGACTTTCTTCAGAGCTCGAATGGCTTCTTCGCCGCTTTTCCAACTCGTCTCTCGGTCTCTTAGTTACAGTATATATACCATTCTCTATCTCTACCTATACGCATGTGAATGTATTTGTATGTTTAGGCCATGTTTGTCACTACATAAGCTAGCAATTGTTATTCAAATAATCTTTTCAGGTTAGTTTAGTTTGGTTGAATCAACTTATTTATTTAGGCAAAGGTTTTATCTATAAGCTTCATGAGTAGCTTTTCTAACAACCAAGTGTTCTGTTTGCATACGACTTCATTTTTGTCTGTAGTTTTATCTGAAATATATCCTATCGTGGCATTTGAAATTTCAAAACTACCTTATGCACTAATTATACATACAATATGTGAGATCATGTAGCTTTAAATTACTCTGATAGGGCAAGCTCCAGGTATACAGAAAATTCACAGAGAGATATCAAGAAAAACAACTGCAATCTTTATTGAAGAAGAACAGTAACAATGGCCGAAGCCCCAAAGAGAGAGAGTAATCTCAATCTTCCCAGTCCCAAGACAAAGTCTAAAAACAGCCTACCTTCCTCTCCCAGCCTTATTCTATTTATAGTAGTCCAGCTCAACTGACTTTAGTTATTAGCTACAATAGAATTTTAACTAATAGCTACTAGTCTATTTAATAGTCTAATAGGTCGATCCCTAACATACTCCCTCCGTTTCATGTATTTTCCTGATAACACAATTTAGTTTCACCAATTATAAATTTAATACTTGCATGCTAAAAACTATTTTAAGTTCAAATGAACTGCAAAAACTAGTGGAAAACAATAAAAGTTATGTATATAAAATTACAATTTAAAAGAGAGCTGTCTTGATTGTAGAATAGCAACAGGGACAACTAATTTGGAATGGAGGGAGTATCAGAAAAGCTGTAAGGCAGAAATTAACTTATCAACTTTCTTAACAGAAGCAGCATCTCAATCGGTTGGGCCTTCTGCGTCTTCAGCAGTCCAAGAAATGACAAATCCGACGTTCACAGTTGATGTGACCTCTCAAATTGGTGCAAGCATGCCTCTAAAGATGATGCGGATTGGGACCCTCATTCACAATCTTGAGATGCGACCCGGCCAAGGTCCGAAGCTAGTTCGTGGATGGGGCACAGTCGCCAAGATCATGACTGAGCCCAGGTCTGAATCGTCCAGGTACTGCGAGATAAAGCTCCCGTCTGGTGATAAAAAGATGATTGATGTCAGGTGTTGGGCCACGATTGGGCGAGCCCCCAATGCAGAGCATGCATCGAAAAAACTTTATAAGGCAGGACAGAACAGGTGGCGGGGGATAAGGCCGACAGTCCGTGGGGTGGCGATGAACCCAGTTGATCATCCGCACGGTGGTGGGGAAGGGAAGAGTAAGAGCAGTGGGAGTCACGGGAAGGTGTCGCGTACCCCTTGGGGTAAGCCCACCAAGTGTGGCTATAAAACTGGCCGACTTAAGAGGAAGAATTGATTTGTTTCTTTGCTTCCAGTTTTTATGCTTTTTTAACTACCGAATGTCATAAAGTAACTTGAAGTTGGCTTTGTTTAGGCATGTGTAGAGACGGATTTTTTTATAGCTAAGAAAGTGACTTTTGTGAGAAGATGTTCCAGAGTAGTATGAACTGCAAGCTTGTAACCCTTTCTGCATTTTGATAATGGTTGCTTAGGACCCGTAGTTCGGGTGAACTGTGCGGGAAATTGTATCATTTGCAGGTTTGTATAATCCTTTTTTAAAAAATGCAATTATTCATCTTCTGGCCACTCTAAAATTCCATTTTTTTTACTCCATGAGGCGTCTGGGGGAGGGGGCGTGGCCCGACTCATATACGGTTCCTAGGGGTTGGATTGGGCTTGTCTCGGTACAATTTCAGTTCAATTCCAAATTTATTCTTATACTTTTGTTTGTGAACAAGTATTCATAGAAAAAAATAGTCTCTTCACAGTCATGTGTACTGCCGTACTGGTGTATACAAAAAAAGTATGTACAACCAGCAGAGTTCAAAATGTATTAACTCTCTCATGTTAATCTTTCAAATAGATTTTCATGTAGAATAAAGAAGTGTAAATTGTGTGATACAAAGTTGTGCAAATGAAAGAAAAATGATATGAACTACGAATTCTTTGCTACAAAAGGAAATTGAAGATTTTTTTGGAAATTTGGGACGGGTCAAAATTGAAAGATTGAAGATAATTCTAAAACTGAGGGAATAACCTTTTTCTCTTAAGTCTTAACTAGGCCAAAAAATGCAAATATGACCTAATACATCCAATTAAAAAATACTCCTGATAGCAAAACTTTGAACAAAGTATTTTCACTCATGAAGAGCAACCATCACTAAACTGCCGGTAGCACCTCCAACTGTGGCCTCCTCCGCTAGACATCCAGTGGTGGCGACAGGGATGGCCTAAAGAGGCCTCGTCCACCTCTAATCTTTTTTTCTCTTAAGCTTCAACCTCACAATATAAAATTTTTAAGCTCCAATATCCTCAGCAAATGTGAACACTCAACATCCGTTACAAAATCACAAAGGGTGTATTTAGGAGTTAGGAGTTAGTTTTTGTAGAGGAGGGGAAGACATGTGAGTGTTGATGATCCTCCTATTCGTGTTTGATAATTTAAAAATGTGGATGAATGATTTTGGAAGGTTTTTATGACCTTCAAATCTCTCAAATGCTCAATGGTTAAGTTTCCCCAAAGTAGAGGATTTAGATTGATAATAAATTAAATGATAATTTAAACTCAATTTAAAATGATTATCACTTCAGTTTTTTTATTTCGCCATATTTAATTATTTAGAACTATTAGAAGTGTTTTTTATTATAATTCCTTCAAAATCTCTCATTTTCAAATTTATAACTCACAAATAAGAAGAAGAGTTTTCTCGCATTTTCCCACATTTCCCGTCCAACAACTAACCTTCAAAATATCCCCCCCCCCCCCCCCCCCCCCCCCCCCCCTTCCTCTCAAACTCCCAAATATACTCTTAGGGTTTTGAAGGGGAAGGAAAGATTGAAAAGAGTTTATGACTCTGCCTTTAATGTTAGAGAGTTCAAAAATATGGAGGAGATGACTTTGGAGGGTTTTTCTAACCCTCTAAAACCCTTCAAATGGTTAATTTTCAAGTTCCCTTAAATTGGTAGATTTTGTAGGATAACTAATGTTATGACAACTTTAATTCAATTTTGAATAAATATAAATTTAACTATTTGGATTCATCATATACGTCAAGTGATAGAAATTATAACTCATCCATAACATCTATCTTCTCACATTGTTACTCTCAAACAAGAAGAAGAAGAAGAAGAAGAAGAAGAAGAATTTCATCCTCTTTTCCTCACTTTCCCTTTCAATGACTAACCTTCGAACTTCTCTAGGGGTATGTTTGCGAGTTTGGGGAGAGGGATGGGAATACTTTGAAGGTAAGTTGTTAGAAGGAAAAGAGGGGAGGGGTGAAGAAATATTTCTTCTTATTTGGAGTAGTTAATTTGGAAAAATAGAGTGTTAAAAGGAATTATAATTAAAATCACTTCTGAGATAAGGTAAATTCAAATAATTGAACTATATTTATTTTAAATTGAGTTTAAATTGTCATTTAATTATTTATCATTTAAACCCCTCCATTTTGGAGGGGTTTAAACATTGAACATTTGAGAGGGGTTTGAGGCTCGCAAAAACCTTCCAAAATAGTTCATCCACGTTTTTAACTCCCAAACAATGATAACCCACCTTAAAAAGGATGACCCTGAATTAGGGGTGAGCAAATATCCGACAAAACCGATAAAACTGAAAACCGATACCCGAATCGACCGAAAAAGTCGGTTATCGGTCGGTCATCGGTTATTACATATGAAAAGAAGTCGGTTATTCGGTTATTCGGTTAACGGTCGGTTATTTTAATCGGTTATCGGTCGGTTAACCTAAAACCGAAGTATAGTCTACTCCGTATAAACGTTTGTATGTACTTGACGTGCACTCGTCGTTAGGTGCACTCAAAATAAATAATCAATACAACACTAATACGTAGTATAGTGTAGTAAGGTTCGTATCCACAGGGAAAGGAATACTTTTTTTTTATAAATAGTAACAAAAAGGGGGGTTTAGAGTTTTTTGTTTTAACAACACTAAGATAAACAACCTATATGAGTTTAATTCAATGAGATGAAGACTTGGTTTTGCTTTTATCCACTTAATGAAATGTTCGTCGATCCCGGTTATATCTTTAACTATCTTCCTCTCAAATACTCAATCGAGGAGTATATCCAGTTCATCGAGGGTAGTTATTAATAACGAGATGCGTTCATTAATAAAACTTACTATCGAGTCAATATAGAACAAGCGCCGTATATTAACTTGATAGTAGCAATAAACTTAAGGTGAAAATGATTGAGATTGATAACCTCAACACAAGCGGTTTATTGGTTTAATCAATATAATTAATTCCCCTTGGCATATTAACCATGAGATGCATGCATTAATATTCCAAGTTTACTACCGTTGAAAGAACCTGATTAATAACAAGCGTATTAACCGATTGATTCTAGTAATAATTAATATGAGAAACAATACTAGTTGATACTTTAAGTAATGTTTAAGATATTAACATGAAATATGAATAGGAATTAATCAATACTCAAGGAAGAATATTAAAATATATGAATCCTACTATGATTAATATCAAGATGTTAACTAATTGTCATCTTAGTAACACTCCCCAATATTATCATAGAGGAAGAAATAGCTATTACTATAACCAATGTCAAGATGTTAACTAATTGTCATCTTAGTAACACTCCCCAACTTTGATATAGAGATAGTATTTTGAAAGAAAGAATTAATATTCAAGGAAGAAGATTAAAGAAAATAACTCACAACTTACAAATTCATTAAGCTTCAAAGTAGCAAAACCAAGATGGAAGAGTTTAGCTCCTCATTTGGAGACTAAACATGATGAAAAATATAAAGAAAGAACTATTCTATACTGAGCTTAGATGTACAAAGGAAGTGGATATCTTTTGGTGAAAGAAAGGAGGTGTATTTATAGGTTTTAGGGATGGGATTCGGGTACTCGATCGGGTATATACATGGTACCCGATCGAGTATGTGTGTAACACTCGATCCGAGGCATACTCGACCGGTTTCAGGCTATTTTCTAAGTGTATACCCGATCGAGTATATATGAATACCCGGTCGAGTATGCTTAGAAAGTGGTATTCGGGCTATACTCGACCGATCTTCGTTTGCATTTCAAAGGCATACCCGATCGGGTATGTCGGTCTACCCGATCGGGTATAGACATAAAATCGTGGCCAAAATCTTTCCTGCATGTTCCCTTGTCTTCGGATCTGATCCGATTTGAAGTTCCAACCTAATACCCGATCGAGTATAGCTAATACTCGACCGAGTATAGACCAAAATTCAGGATCTTCTTTTGTCTTTGAACTTTTGCACCTCCTCTTCACTTTTTGGGTTCACCAACTGTACTTTGAGTGACCAAAACCTGCTTAAACTCAGAATATATCTAATCTAACCTATTTACAAGAATTTGACAATCTAATCTATTACACCAAAAGTGTGTAATTTCCAAAGTAAAAGTCAAGCAAAACTAATTAAAAACATAAACATAGATATGGAAATTACGAACGTATCAGTACTTCATGTATGGTATGATGTTTCACTTAGAGGAAACGGTCCAGTCCAGCTGGTCGCCGACTCACTCTCCCTTACGGGAGGTCTCGGGTTCGAAAGTCAATGGAGTGAGTTTCAACCTAGCTAGATTACTCCAGGCTCCCCCAGCCTCCCTCCCCAGACGCCTCCTGGAGTAAAAAAAAGGTGTGATGTTTCACTTAATAACGTATCATAATTACTCTAAGAAATAATGTCAAATACATGACCAAAATGAATATTATGGATACAAATATGTCTTTTCATACTTTAATGACTATAATTGTAATTTTAATGTGCATGATTGTGATCAATTTTATATTATAGTAATCATGAATGGTATACTCATTTTAATTTTAGTGATATTTTAGTTTAGTACGTAGAATGTAGTACGGAGTAATATTTAAGGAAACCCCTCATATTTTAATAAATCTCATATGTTTAATTAGTATTTTGTGATTGACCCAAAAGAGATAAAATGACACTCATGCACAAGAGAAACTACCAGTAGCGTAAGAAAACTAATTTTATCATGAGATAATTTAATTCATTTCTTCTTATTTATTTCACGAATGGAGAAAAAGCATTTTATATATGATCAATTATTTCATTCATTTTGTTTTGTAGTGTAAAAAAACATTTATTTTCATCCACTTCTGTATCAAATATTTTTTCTAATATGTTTATCTAAAGCATTCAAATTTTTGAAAAAAATATCTTTTAAAAATTTATATGGTCAGTTATTGTCGGTTATTCAGACACCTAACGAAACCGAAGTACGGTTTTTTGGTCGGTTATTGGGATGTTATCGTCATAGGGTTGTAAACGAATCAAATAATTTGTGCTCGATTCGCGATTCGAATTCGTATAAGACAATTCGAATTCGGAAAATTCAAATACAAATAAGAATATTAAATTTGATTTGAGTTGTTATCAAATACAAATATGAATATCAGTGTATTCGATTCGAATATTAATCAAATATATTCGATTAATAATAGTTGTAATATTAATAATAATAGTAATAACAATATAATAACTTTTAAAAGATAGCAATACCCTCATAGTGTAACCCATATATATATTTATGCATACAGATTCCAAGCCCATTTGTAGTAAATCATAATATAAATACGAATACAAATCGGATTTTTTTGGTTCAAATGTCTTTCAAATACAATACACATAATTATGTATTCAATTGGAAGAATAAAATTAGTCATTTGACTTTTATATATACAATTGTCAACTTGTTTCACACATTATAAGTATAATTTCTAATGTGTGCATTGGTGTTTATTTCAAAAGGTTTGAAATAGATTTATATTTATTAATCATAAATTTGATTCTCTTTAGTATATTGTGCACAATCTAAAAATACATTGATCCATTAAATGTTAATTCTAAAAACACATATTAAGTCATAGCATGCATTTACAACATAAAAAATATAAGAAAAGTTATTTTAAAGTAATATTTGACTAATATTTAATCTATGCTCAAATCGATTCGATATTCGTATATGATTCGTTAAGTATTCGTATTGTTAAACAAACACAAATACAAATCGAAATTAATATTCGTTTCATATTCGAATTCGAATTCGTATTCGAAAAAATAAACAAATACAAATACAAAATCCCACAATTCGACTCGATTCGATTCGTTTACAACCCTAGTTATCGATCAGTTTCGGTCGGTTATTAGAGTATAAAATTTTGGTCGGTTATTCGGTTATCGATCGATTATTTGACCGACCGACCGAATGCTCACCCCTACCCTAAATCCTAAATTCCTAATGTTAAATGCTAAATATATTTTAGATCAAAATTACTATCTTTTCCAAATAAAGGATTAAATAAATTTCAATTAAGTAATACTTCATCTAATCTTTATAACTTTATATCTTTTCTTTTTAGAATGTCTCAACATTTTCTATCACTCTCCTTTTAATCAATGAATTTGTGGTTTTAATTATTTTTGTCTCTTCTATACAAATTTCAATCCACAATTTCTATTTTAATATTTCTCGACTAACTTGACAAAACTGGAAGCAAAGCAAAAAACTTTTTAAGGCAGTAAAACTTAAAGAGCTCAACTTTTGAAAATATGCTACTAGTAATTTAATCGAGAAGTCTAATTTTCTCATTTTTGAAAAAAGAACCTCTCATATCTATACATATTCATATCAACCTTCCAAATTAAGTATAAAAATGATAGGATATGATGGTCCAGATTCAATTTCTATTAATTGCAAACATTGTATTTGTACGTACAAATTCGATTGTCATATATACATAATTTTGTCGTACATTTATTATTTATACGTACGTAGTATATATAGCATATGAGTCATATGAGTAAGCTACTACTAGTAATAATGAGAGGCTTAATTTGGAAAGGAATAATGGCAATTACAAGCACAGCCGGCCAGGTCACATTTCAAATTTCAGCGCCACCAAAAGAACAGTACGTACGTGGGGCCAGGAAATAGCTAGACGGAGGAATGACGACGGAAGAATCCATTGAAGAAGACTTATCGTACGAGCCGTCGTCGGAGGTTGATTCCGTTTACGAGTTCGATGCGTCTCGTTACTTTGATTTCTGCCTGCCGGAGTCATCTTCCGACACTGAACGGGCCGAGCGATGGTTCCACGTCGCCGGCTATTATCCACCTTCGCGTAAGAATAATCTAATCTTTAATTTTTACTTCAGCTCACTGCAAAAATATAACGGTAATTCTAAAATGATTTTTTTTTAAAGGATGGAATTCTAAAATGATTTGAATGTTTATTGATCGGGTTTAGCATGATACTCCGTATGATTTGATTTATATTTTCTTATTTAGATTCTTTTTTATCATATCCCAATTTGGATCTTATGAGTTATGACTATGGAACTCTTTTAATACTCGTATGTAAATGTTGATGATTAAAGCTAATTTACTATATCTATTGGAAGAATTTGGGGACGTTTGTTTTTCCGTAGTTCATTTACTCCGTATTAAAAAAAATGGGGTGGGAAAATATATTAAGCACTACCTTATAAGTGACAGGAACCGCCGTCAGGCCGAGGCCATTTGGGACTTTTCGCGGTGTAATTTTTTGATAAAATTTTTTAATCATGTTCCCATCAAGTATAGTTTAGTCATATCAAATTTCAACTAAAAAATCAATATATAGACAAAACTGTGCTTTATATATATATATATATATATATATATATATATAAACAACGCAGTCTTTTTCAACAACTTAATTGATTGTCTACCCGAATGAATTTTTAGTTGAAATTTGGTGTGAATAAATTAGACTTGATTATGAACATGATCAAATCATTTCATCAAAAATTTCCACCGGGAAGGGCCCCCCAAAGCACTCGGCCGAATGGTGAGTCCTGTCAGGCCGGCCTGACAGGATCGCTATCTATATGTAATACATAATTCTTGATATCTAATTATTTATCGCTCAATTGTGAATATTGTACTTCAGAAAATGGGTGAATTTTTCTTAATGAGTTGATCAAACGAATGTAGTGAGTAAGTACTGGTTCCATATCAATATAAAAATCATTGAAATGGAGCATTACATTAATTTTTTATGATGAAAATGGAAATTCCATATAACTAAAGAAATAAATGTAATACTCCGTAATTAATACTTTTGATTTGTTTACTAGGAACAAAAGATGTTGATCGACTTGCATTAACGGAGCCACTTTAGTGCAAGAACGTTCTTGGAGCATTCAAAAAATTGAGAAAAATATAAACATAATATAATATGTAGAATTGATGTACTACGTAATAATTTATTTTCCAATTCGATCTATATATTATGTAGTTTTTGAGAAAAAAAAGTGTAGATTTTTTGCTTCAAACAATACTGCCTTTTCAAATTCTTTATAAAACATTCACTATCAATTTGACCTCTCGTGCGTGGATTAAATTCAGGTTTCTATTTCAAGTCGAAAGTGATCATTAACACACAAGAAACAAATGACGATGAGATGAAAGGTATGAATTAACATGGTTTTATATATGATCGACAGATTAAAACGTAAACAAAATGCACATATAGGATTACCCTTGTTTTCTTCCTAAAATAGGACTTATTCATTCCTAATAGGGGAAGTTTTATACTTTTAACAGAATCAAATAAGTAATATTTTAGGAATAAAATATATGTAGTCTTATTTGTGCATTTTGTCTAAGTTTCAGTAGTATTTTGAACAATTTATACGTACATTATATACCTATAGAGCATCTCAATTAAAGTTTTCTTAATCTTTTTCAACTGGTTGATGTGTATTCAAAAACTTGTACGTCCTAGCAGGGAAGACGATGGTGAATAATGGCGAGGTATTAGAAGAGACTCCAAAAGCTAAACCTAAGGCGGCGGCGACACAAAAATCAGGTGGTAGCAAGACGAGGAGCTCATCAACGTTAATGAAACCTACGGCTAGCCACCTGGCCAGGCTAAACCTATTGGCTGCGACACAAAACGATAATGAAGCCACAAAAAGGCAAAAGCTAGAGAGTGGTTACTTGCGTAAGGTACGGTGGGGAGTGTTTGCAAATTCTTTTACTTAAAAAAAGAATGATTTTGGAAAAAGTGATCACTAACAAAAGTTGATAGTGTTTCAGAAAAACTTTATTTTGAAAGGTAAAAGTTGTTAGGGTTTGGTAAAATATGTGCTTTTTGTATAACAGAAAAAGTAAAAAGCAGTTTTCAGCTAGAAGCTGAGAAACGTTTTTTAAGTATAAATTGTTACTTGAAAACATTAATTTTAGTTTTATTAAGCCAAAAACTGATAACCATATTTTTAAGCCAAACAGTACCTTAGAGTGTGGCAGTCTTCGTTCACTTCATCAAACACACACTTACATGTTGGTAAATAATTTATGTGGGGGAGAATAGAGACTACATGAGACTCTTGTACTGCTGGGACGGATGCATGAAGAATTAAAGTATGCTTGATACTATTAAGGGAAAAATAATAAAAATACCTCAACCTTTGAAGGGTGTGATCAGATAAATACCCCAAACTTGTATATGTAATTTAAATATTCCAAACTTTATATAAAAAGTTATTTTTCACACCATTATCATGTATTATTTCTTTCAAAAATGTACTCCCTCCGTCCCCTTTTAAATGTCCTATTTTACCATATTGGGATGTCCCTATTTAATTGTCCCATAACTTATTTGGTAAAGTTTGTGTGGCTCAAAATCATTCTTACTTTATTCTTACTTTATTCTTACTTTAATTTATCTATTAATATCAACCACACAAATCTACTTTTCTTAAAACTCGTGTCACCCTCTTCCGGGACATTTAAAAAGGGACGGAGGGAGTAATTTTTTTGGGTTAATTGCATAATTTAAAATAGAAGATTAAAAGTTTTGCAATTATATAAATTTTGGATTACATTATTTATTTCGCAGTGGAAATTTAGAATGTTAATTGTGTCTTCATGAATTCTAAAATACTACGGAGTACTATATTAAATATTAAATTATGCAACTAACACCATAAACATACATTTTATAAAAAAAAACTTGACTATGATGCTAAAATAACTTTTTATATAAAGAGTTTGGGGTATTTAAATAATATATGCAAGTTTGGGGTGTTCATTTCACACCCCTTCAAAGTTTGGGTATTTTATTTATTTTTCCCTACTATTAATGATTCCGAGTGAACCTTCTGGGTATACCATTTAAATTGGACGAGGTGTAGAGAAATAAAACAAAAATGGGATATTATTGTGCTAAAGAGGGAAGCTATATTATGATCTGGACTCCTCCTCCTATTGACCTTTTAGGGTGGAAGACTGCACAATACTCTTCCACGTCTCCCCTTCAGGATGACCATTGCCTGAACTTTGGAGAATTGTGGGGAGGTCTAATTGGCGGATGATTGATGCAATTGTCATACTACTCTTAAACAACAATTACTAACCAGCCATAGCACTACTAGCAACCACTGATTCAAAACTAGATAGAGAACCAACTTTGTGAGTTGACTAGGAAGTATGTTAATATTGTGACAGTAAGCAATACCATTCAGAAAAATTTCCACCCCATTATTAAAGTCTCAGGTCCTGTTTGGTTGGAGGGTTTTGGAGGGGAGGGGAGGAAAGTGAGGGATTCTTGTGTGTTTGGTTGAAGGAAATAGGGGGAAGGGGAGGAAAGTGGAAGACTTTCAAAATCCTCCACTTCCTCCCATTCTAAACCCCCCAAATCGAGGTATTTCGGAGGAAACGTGTTGATAACAACAAACTATCCATCTCCTACGTGAATGAACAAAATGTTATAATATAAAAAGGTAAAAAAAAAGATTGAAAAATTAAAAAAATTAAAAATTTAAAAATTTAAATATTAAAAAATTAAAAAATTAAAAATTTTCAAAATTAGAAAATTTAAAAATTATAAATTAAAAATTTTAAAAATTAAAAAAAAAATTCCAAATTGAAAAATGAAAAATTATAAAATTAAAAAAGTAAAAAATCAAATAAATTAAAGTTATGACTCATGACCATAGGAATAATATTCACAATAGTTAGACATGTATCTATTTTTTGAAGTAAGCTATCAAATAAAAGTAAATTGCGAAAATATTTTCATTAAACCTTTCCTCCTATTTCCTTCAACCAAACACAAATTTTTATCAAAATCCTTCCTTCCCCTTCCATTCCCTTCCCTCCTTGACTCTCCCCTTCCCTTCCCTCCTTTGAACCAAACAAGGCCTTAGGGTGTTTTTGGGAGTTGGTTTTTGGAGGGGAGGGGAAGGCATGTGAGGGAAATAAACTCTCCTATTTGTGTTTGGGAGTTTGAATAATATGAGGGAAAGGTTTTGGGGGTGTTATAAAATCCTTCTAAACCCTCCAAAACATGGGTTTCTAATTCCCCCGATTTGAGGGTTTTATAAAGTTTAGCTACACAAATGAGAGGTTTATCCTCTGAAACTAAAATCGCTTCTGTATAAAATCTTTATGAGCTGCTACTCGTTTCATTTCTCCGCAACTGAAACCCCTCAAGTCCCCAAACCCTCATCTTTTGAAATTTGCAACTTCCAAACAAGAGGAGGGAATCCCTTCCCATCTCCCTCCCCTTCCCTTCTCTCTACTCCCCTTCAAAACTTCCCCTTCCCTCACCCTCAAACTCCCAAACACATCCTTAGTGAACTGATTTTTAGAATGAACTGCTATGGAATTGTTGGTGTAGGCAATATAATGGAGTTGCATTTATGATTGTAATATGAAGATGAGCACATAGGAAGTAATGCCATAAATCAACTGGATATGCAACATTAGCTCGGCATTGGCATGTTCAAGACATTGTTCGAGCGTCATAACTTAATTCATAGCGGTAAAGGGATTTTGCTCCTCTCCATTAACTGGAATGGTCCAGTAGGAGAGAGATAGAGAGAGGTGGGGAAATGGTGGGGTAGGGAAAAAGAAAAGATTATGTTTAATTATTATTTTTAAGGAGAGAGATAGAGTGAAAAAGAAATGGAGAGAGTAAATGGAGAGAAAGAAATGGAGAAGAGTATGACCCGCGGTAAAGGTCTCATCATTATCAAGGGATAGGATAATGTAATCAACGACTTTAGGACCATGTAGTGACTTTAAATAAGTTAATTAAAGTGATATGGATGTGTTTATGTTTGAGATATCAACAGCGGGATGAAAAGGGAATGTTTTTTGTCGAGAAGGCTGTTGCCGATCAAGAAGGGTTAAAAAGGGGTGGAAATTTGGAAAATGAATACCTGAAATAGGTTGCGCGTGAGGGCGTCTTATACTTAAAATTGATTGTCCCACCGTTGAGCGAAAAACAAATTAGGGAGTGTTGAAAAACAAATCAGTTTTTCAGAAGTTCGTCTCCCCCCATTTTTAAAAGGTTGTTTCTATGAGTAATTTGTAGCACTCAAAAGTACTTCTGCACTTTCACTCAAACCCTCGAATACTGCTTATGTTCCATATGGAGCAGAAGCAGTTTTAAGAAGCATATCCAAACGCCCACTTAGTTGTATTTAGTCCCACAAATTATGTACACACAAAAAATAAGAAATACTCCGTATATAATATAACCATTTGGACCGGTCCAAACAAAGCAACATGAAACCATTAATTAGCAGCCCAATAGATTTTCAAAATATCATACATATTAGGTATTTCGTATTTTTTAAGAATAATAATTAGATAATATTACCCGAAGTAGGACTAAAAATGTTTGAAAATTACAAAATAGAACTGTCATGTTTTTATTTCCAAAATAGGACTAATTAATGTCATGATTTGGCATTACCAGGCTTCAAAGTTCAAACATGGCAGTATTTTCTAAACTTGGCTGTAATTACTCTTATTTTGGAGGGAAAAACATGACAGTCCTATTTTGGAATTTTCAAACTGTTTTAGTCCTATTTTGAGAACTTTCCCTAATACTTATTGTATTGTTGGATGATCATACACCTTGCTCGCTCAAATATTAGGTTGCTCATTTGAAGCATCAATCGTCGTTGTTGCACAAGTCATCTCAGAAGGTACTTCCCAAAACACACTCCATATACTCCATATTATTAGTTGCTAAGTTTCATATCCATGATGTTTTTAATTGGATTGTAGTATTCTGTTATGATATGGTATGGTCCAGTCTGATCCGACGGATGTTTATTCTATGAATATTTTACAACTCCTGATGTCTGGTCTGATCAATATGGTTAGTCTGGTATATTTGAGTTTTGTCTAATCTAGTATGGGATTGAAATCAATCTAATTAAAAACATCCTTATAACCTTGTCCCGCCTATAATAATATGTGTTTTTGTATGCTTAGAAGTTAGAAAAGATACGTAGATTCAATCCAAATATCGCTTCAAATTTAAAATATTGCAAGAGTTACCACAACACCACATTGTAGTAATGAATAGTCATATTTATGTAAATATGACTTATTTTAGTAATATTCTTGTAAAAAAACCATATTGCGAAAGGTCATTTTTAAATTTTATACTCTTAGTGTTGTAGAAATAAATTATAGAAACTATTGTTTTCTTGATGCTTTCTTACACCTTCAATAAAACTTTTTTTACATCGTTAAGATTTGCTAGCACTTGCAATGAGATATTGAGCAATGATGATTTTATTGTGAGCAATTAAATTTGGTCCTATGTATTTAGGGAGATTCAAAATTAAGTTATAGGTTTTTTAAAGAAATTAAGCTATAGGTTTTATACTTTTATTTTGGCATATTTAGGTCGAGAAAATTTTGCTAAATAGAGGTGGTAAAATATAACAACCTATTCAATAAAGTGACTATTCACTATGATATTCATTTTTAATTCTAATTCATCTCCAACTAAGCACTATGATATATCTCAATACCTATATTTTGCCATATGTAAAACCATATTTAAGTCTAGTTAATCTTCAACTAAGCACTATGATATATCTCGATACCTATATTTTTCAATGTTAACCCTAGCATTGGCCCGATTAGTTCCATATTTCAGTATTTGCCTCATATCTATCTGCTGATTTTTACCACATTGGTTTTGAACAATCCCAAAGTTCAAACTCATAAGAATTTGAATATGCATGAAGTATAAAATTAACCGAATCTTAGCTTATGTTCATTTGATAATGATATGATGGTTTTAGGGTGGATTATCGTCTCCTGGTGCAAAAGCACTTCATCATTCTAAGTTAAGTGTCACCGTTCCAAGAGAGCCTCGACTAGAAACTCATCGAAGGGCACAATGGCGGAGGTACATCAGATCATTAAAAGTCAATCTTATAGAAAGAGCAGTGATGTGCGTTAATTGGTGCTATGTGAACTATATTTGGTCGTTATTGGACAATATATAATCCAACATGTTTCTTATTCTCTTAGCCCACACTGGGCCCGGATATAGCTTGAGGTGGATAGAAGGATCACATCAACCCCAAACAGATTATCTCAAATCATGGTTGAAATGAATAAATTTCAACATCTTACTTATTCTCTTAGCCCACACCGGGTCTTACCCTACACCAACCCCAAATAGGTTATCTCAAACCATGGTTGAAATGAATAAACTTCAACTCATGCTCTTATATATTGATTGTTATTTTATATTTTACTATTAATGTGTTAATAATATTATGTGATCCGGTAATTGAATTAATGTAACTTTTTCAACAACAAAAAACTAGAAAGTAGAGTTAACTGCAAGAATAATATTAAATACATGCAATATACGCATTATGAAATTATTACACCAATTCAACTAACACATGTACTTATGTATTTAAATTCAAAATGTCCACAGAATTATCTTATATATAAAAACTACCACTAGTTATATAAATGTTAAACAAATACTTCTACACTCGATCATTTCATTTCTTTTGTTTTAACTATTGGGTGCCCTGGCCTAATAAAATCTACTACTACATTAATGGTATTGTAGGTTCAAGTCCAGATATGATTTAACCTCAAGTGATCATATTACATCAGAGGAACAAATATCATCCAAAGTTCGGTCATCCAAGAAAAAAGTTAGTATTATTAACACTTTTGTTGTCCATTTGCATATATTTGTACAAAAGCGAATCTATATATTAAGACTTTTGACATTATGCTTATAGATTCTAGAGTCACATTCAACGCCCGAGACCAAAATGAGAACACAGAAATCACCTATCTCCCAAGTAAGTAATCATAGATCTTAATTCCTCAAGTCCTCAAATATCTGCTTATAACAATATATTTTGTTGCATAACAAGAAATGTTTAGGATATCATTAAACATTTTTTATAAAATTAGGACTGTGTCCTACATTTAATTGTTTTCAATTCAAACTCTTGGACTACATTACATTAACTTATTTGTCATGCATCATCATGATTTTCTTCAGGATTACAAAAGCTCAAACGAGAAGAAGCTTTTACAACATCCACCAGTTGAGTTATTTAGCAAGGTATTAAGTCTTGTAGTCATCATAGGGATGACTATTTGATTTAGAACAATACTCTTACATTCTCTGGATTAACCAAAGTATTCCTCTTTGATATCTCAGTTGACACTCAAATGTCAAATGCACAGTGATGAAGAATCTCAACCAAACCAGCATCATTAGGAAAGGTGAATTTAAACCAGTTTGGTCCAAAAATGGTTGTTTTGTATGTCAGCATTATATTGTGAAAATTAGATTATTATTATTGAGTTACATGCTACAAATTTAATACATTCTTTTATGTTTTAGAATTTTAGGTTATTATTATTTCACCAAAGATTTGGTGGAATCCTGATGTACTATATGAGTCCGTTATGTAAAATTATAAGTTTGTTCAAAGTCTCAAAATCACCATAAATTTGAGTAATGGGGTTGATGATAGACATCATCATTTGTACAGTCCAAATTTTTAGACTCCAGACCAGCATACCCAGAACCCCATTGAAGCTTCAAATCACTTGGACTACTATTGTATTACAAATTGGTGGTATAATCCTCAAAGGTAAGCGTAGTTGATAATATCATTGTATGTTGTTACTTTACTCAATTACTGTGTCATATTTTATCAATGTCATGACAAATTATTCAAATGTGATGCATATGCAAGGACACAACGGAAGAGCTAAATTACAAAACAATTCCACTGGATTTCATTGCATACTCTTGAGCATAACTCATAGCAGCAATGTGATGAAAATCATATTTTACTACAAAATATATCATTAGAATTTGATTATCCCTACATTGTTCTAAACAGCCAACTGTAACAAAACTTTGGCTAATTACGGGGTAGCATTAATTTTCCAAATTTAAACGGTGTTTTTGGATATGGCTTCCCCGAACCTAACCACCCACTGTGCATCATTGGCATTGCCATCTTCCCGGTGGTTTTCAGGCTGCCCATTCCCTAACAGAAACTGTGCATAGTTGAAAGATTTCGGTGCAGTCACGCAGGGCTTTTCCGGTGGTGGTGGAAGAAAAGAGGTGAGAACCCTAGCAACTTCATGCATGGTTGGTCTCTCTGTTGGGACTCGCTTTGTACACAACAGTGCAAGTTGGAAGGTTTTACTAACATGGGTTAAATCTGTGCAAGTTACCGACACCTCAGTATCAACGGCTTCCATCACGGTGTTGTCATCTGCCTTTGACAGTATCTACAAAACACAGAAATAATTAGTAAAATCAATTTAAGCCAGAAAATTTAATTGAAGGGTCCATTTGGAACTAGGAAAGTCCTATGGAAAGAAAATGGAGAGGGAAATATAAGGGAAACTTAAACGAAAGATTTATTTTGATATCTTGTCGACCACTTTTTTCTATAAAAAAACATATACATATAATTTATAAAAACAATAAAACCATGTTTGGTTTTCTTTTGCACTTTCGTAAAAGCAAACACAACAAAATTACTTTCTGTAGAATTTTCTATGATCCAAACAAATCCCAAGTAAAAATTTAAAAACAATGAAGTTGGTGAACAAGTGAGAGCTTAAGTTACTATCTGAGAAATGAGAAGATTACCAGCTGGTGCAAGTTCAAGTCATTATCCACGGGCTTCTTCCCGGTCAAGAGCTCCAAGAGAACGATTCCAAAACTATAAACATCTGATTTTTCAGTCAACCGTGAAGTTCGGGCATACTCTGGATCAATATAACCAATGGTGCCAAGAACATAGGTTGAAGTATGACCCTTTGTTGAAGACATACACTTCGCAATCCCAAAGTCTGAGAGATGAGCCACAAAATCTTCATCCAAAAGAATGTTTGAAGATTTCACATCTCGGTGGATGATTATTGGGTTGCAATCATGGTGAAGATAAGCAAGTCCCTGTGCTGCTCCAACAGCTATTTTTAGACGTGTATCCCAGTCCAATTTAACCTTCTTAGAGGGACCTGCTATGCAAATTAATTGAACAGATCCAGAGGTTACACACACTTGCACCAAATTTGACATTGATATAGGCCTTAATGCCTTGGTGGTTAATGTACTTTAATGGTCCCTCCCTCTGCTAGTACAAAATGTTCAATTTATTCACCTACTGTTAAGTTGATTAAGTAAATCCATGTACTTTAAAAATTGGACTTATCAAGCAAGTTAAATAACATATCTACAGAAAAAAGCAAGTTAAATAACTTACTTGATGTACTTCATGGATTCTAAATTTGTAGCTCTCATATATGTACAAATTATATAAACCATCACAATCTTCATAAATAGATACTATTAAATACACTACCTCCATCCCACAAAACAGATCTCGTTTACTTGGATTGCTTATAATAATGATGAGATATGTGGCTTAAATTTCAGCATGGGGAGAGAGAAAATTGAATAGTACAATTCCTGTTTAGAAGGAAATAAAACCCCTATTTCGGGATAGATTAAAATGAAAAGGGAGGGAGTATGTGATAATACATATTCTATTTAGGCACAAAGGGGTATGTGATTATACATTACAAACAAATAAAAATGACAACTTTTTCAAAACAAAATGAAACAATTTGTAAACAGTATATTTTTCAATGAAATTGAGTAATATTATATTTTCCAAATCAAAACATCAATATATTCAATGTTACTTTCCGCACATATATATGTACATAAATAGATATTATATACATATATATATATATATATACATATATGTATATATACAGGGAGTTGTTGCAATGAGAAAGGACTTCCCAGGACAGAAAAGAGAATGAATCTGGACCGTCGGATTATATATTATGTAAAATTGAATTGTGCATAAGGTAAAACTGACATGTGCAAATTGAAATGTGCAGAATGAAAAATAAAACTCAAATGTGTAGAATAAAAGGCACAAAAATGTCTACCTCATTGTAGTTTTTATTCTGCACATTTCATTTTCCTGTAATGCACAATTCAACTTTACATAATTTCACCGTGCCATACTTGTTGTGTTGCACATTTTGATTTCACCTAATGCACATTTCAGTTTCACGTAATGCACATTCAATTTCACAAAATACAATCTAACGGTCCAGATTCATTCTCATTTCTCTCCTAAGATCATTTTCTCACTTGAACCTAATTATATATATATATATATATATATATATATATATATATATATATATTTCCATCATTTGCAATGGAGCCAAAGATTTATTATTTTTTGGCTTGAGATTATGATGGAATAAAGCAAAATGGCTCACTAAACTGTCTGCGCTTCTTTGTTATGGAGCAGCAGTCAGTCTATGCAATTTTGGACGCGATTTTCACTATGGGTCATCCGAAAACAGTCTCGCTGTGCTTTAGTAAAGGGGTAAGACTGCGTACATCCGACCCTCCTTACCCCACCGTAGGTGGGAGCCTTTGCGGCACTGGGGTAAATGAAAATGATATATGTGTGTGTGTGTGTGTGTATATATATAAATTTAAAATAAACAAGACTTGTAAACATAGGCACATATCACAATTGAGAAGTACATTTGCAAAATAAGCGAACTTAACGGTTTTTGTTAATAGTGTAGTGTTAATACATTAACTTAGTTGTTTATTTTTTAATAGCATAGTGCTGCTGACCACATTATTATTGAAGTAAACAATGAAGAGGGCAATATATCAAGAATCTTCTGTAATGGTAAAAGAGCACTGACCATGAAGAAGATCCCAAAGCGAACCGTTCACCATATAGTCATAAAAGAGGAGGTTCCCATGTGGGGACAGCGAATAACCATGCAAGCTAACAACATTTCTGTGCCTTATGCTTCCAATGGTGTCCAGTTCAGTCTCAAACTCCCTCAAACTATAGGGGCGCTGAGTGTAAATTCGCTTGATGGCAATGGGTCTGGAATTTTTCAAAACACATTTGTATACAGTGCTTGAAGCACCATATCCAATTATGTATTTTTCATTCAGATCCTCAGTGATCCTCATTATGTCCTCGTAAGAATGAATGGCCATGTCCATGTGCAGTATTACGAGTTTTGGAAAAACTATAGGGGTTGGGGGTCCCTTCATGAATGGTCTGGATTTGTTGGATCTGTAGACTGCAACTATCACCATGGATAGAAAAGCAATGAATCCCAGCACTATGCACACAAGGGCTGTTCTTGAAAAAATGGCTGCAATAATAATAAGAATATAACAAAGCAAGGTATTATGAGCACAAAGGCAATTGGCGAGACGTGGTGACATCAGCATGAGGAAAACGTTGGGCATAGCATGTTTACCCTTTGCCTTTGGTCCATATGGATTGCATATCGAACCTCGCCAGTTTCCACAAAGCAACGGGTTCCCAATGAAGCTGATTACAGGAAAAGCGTTTCTTAAGCAATAGAGAAGCCAATATCATAACTATAATACAATAACTTCATCAGGAAAGAGATTTAGGGTACGTCTGGTATACAGAAATAAAACTCAAGAAAAAGGAAAGCCAATAAGAAAGTTATTTTGTCAAGTTTAGTTTTACCTCTGGAAAACTTAGAGGAAATTAAATATGGTTATAATTTTTCAACAACACATTTAGATTTTTTAATCATTATATGATAGAAATAATAAAATGAAGTGAGTTTTGGTGAATCATTTTCATTTTCATTTACCCCAGTGCCGCAAAGGCTCCCACCTACGGTGGGGTAAGGGGGGGTCGGATGTACGCAGTCTTACCCCTGTACTAAAGCACAGCGAGACTGTTTCCGGATGACCCATAGTGAAAATCGCGTCCAAGATTGCATGGGCTGACTGCTGCTCCATAACAAAGAAGCGCAGACAGTTTAGTGAGCCATTTTGCTTTATTCCATCATAATCTCAAGCCAAAAAATAATGAATCTTTGGCTCCATTGCAATTGAGTTTTGGTGAATATATATCTAAATATACTTTGAATATATATTGCATAAAATTTTTAGCCCCAAAATACTATTTCCTTTCAATTTTATCCCTTATTTTCTCTCTATTTCTTTCGAGATCCAAAAAGACACTAAAATGATTAACTCCCACAAATCTTCAGACTATGTTTGGCATGAAGAAAACATGTTTAGATTAAAGTTTGATTTAAAGTTGAAATCTTTAACATGAGTACCCAAAACTGATGAATCATGCTTGAAGAAATTTCTGATTTTCCCTCAAAATTCTTTCGATCAGAACTTTTTCTCTATTTTGTGGGATCCAAAAAGACCCGCATAGTTACCTGTCAGGTGAAAACTTATGGAAACTCTGGTTGACAGGAACAGCGCCACTGAGATTA